CTCCAGCGGGATCCGGAGAGGGGACCTGTAGAGCCGCGACCTCAAACAAGGGTAGGGGGCCAGGGACTCAGCCCGAGCCACGCCAACTTCCGGACCGAGACCAATACGCGGCCACACTAGACCGTGTATTGGCCGAGGTTCGAACAAAGATGTTAGAGGAGCAGTCTCCAGGAGGGGATACCTTATCCCCTCCAACCACAACCAGTATGGGGACAGCGGGGGCCAACGGCGCAGCGCCGCCCAAAAACAAGAAAAAGGGGAGAAGGAAGGGAAGACAGCGGGTCACCCAGGAAGTACTAGTACCGCTTACCCCTGTGACAATGGGGCAGCAGCAATCCGCGGCCCCGTCGGTAGGGGAGACCTGGGCCTTGGCTCTTGGCCGAAAGAGTAAAGCCAAGGCCGCGAAAAAGGCGGCAAACACGACCCAGTCGACAGGACGAGCTGCTGTCCCAACGCCGGCCAAACAAAATAAAAGGGTCGTGCCACGGCCTCCAACAGCTGCAGCTGTCACTGTCTCCGTGCCCCCAGGCTCGGAGACGACGATAGCCAAGCTGATGGAGATTGCAAAGGCCAACATCAGACTGGGTGACCTCGGCATCACAGGCGGGCTCCGTACCAGGCGCGCCGTGACCGGAGCCCTGATCTTACAGGTCCCCGGCGAAGGTAGCGCTGCTTTGGCGGACAAGCTGGCAGCACGCCTGCGGGAAGTATTATCCGGCACGGACGCAAATATTGCGCGTCCGTGTAGAACAGGTGATATACGGGTAATGGACTTGGAGGAATCCATCACCCAAATGGAAGTCGCCAAGGCTATAGCAACGGCGGGGGAATGTCCTATTTCTGACGTCAAAGTCGGGAACATCCGTGTTTCCCCGTCGCGGCTAGGCACGGCCTGGGTCCGCTGTCCGCTTGCGGCGGTTCGCAAAGTTGCGAATGCCAAACGGGTGCAGGTGGGCTGGGTTTCGGCCAGGGTCGAGGCACTAGTAGCACGTCCGTTGCAGTGCTACCGGTGCCTCGAAATGGGGCACGTAAGAGCGAAGTGCCCCAACGAGACAGACCGTAGCGCACGGTGCTACGCGTGTGGTGGCACAGGTCACGTGGCACGCACATGCACCGCGAAAACGCCGAGGTGCCCGGTCTGCTCAGACCTTGGTCGCCCCGCAGACCACCGACTGGGGAGCAAGAAGTGTTCCCCGCCTAAGAGAAAGAAAATGGTGCAGACCACCCCCGCTCCAGCCTTGGAGGGTACTAACACCGGTCAGAACCCGCCAGCCGCAAGAGCGCCACAGCCGGAAACCCGTCCGGCAGAGGAGGCAATGGAGGCCTAAAATTCCCGCCTCCACAAAAAGTTTTACAGGGCAACCTAAACCACTGCCGCGCAGCGCAAAATCTGCTTATGCAGACGCTCGCTGAGCAGTCGGTTGCCCTAGCGGTGGTGGCGGAGCCGTACTACGTACCGGATCACCCTCGGTGGTTTGGGGCGGACGACGGGACCGCTGCTATATATTGGGCAGGGGTGGAGAATGGCCTCCCCTGCACTCTTCTTCAGAGAGGGCTGGGGTTTGTGGCAGTAGAGTTTGGCCCCATGGTCATTGTGGGCTGCTACATATCTCCGAACTGCGGCCTCACCGTATTCGAGGCGTACTTGGACGGACTCAGGAGTTGTATTTGCACTTTCCTGTCCCGTCCGGTACTTGTCTTGGGCGATTTCAACGCCCGCTCCACACAGTGGGGAGATCGCCTGGACAACGCAAGAGGAGATACACTCATTGAGTGGGCGGCGGGACTGAACCTGGGCATTGTGAACCGGGGTTCCGTCAGCACCTGCGTGCGGTGGCAAGGGGAGTCGATCGTCGACCTGACGTGGGCGACTCCCTCGGTCATCGACCAAGTGTCAGGATGGAGGGTGGCGGAGGACGTGGTCACTTTATCTGACCACCGCCACATCCTTTTCGATGTGGCTATCCGCCGCCCGGACGCAGGAGCAGACCGTCGCAGTAGCTGCCCTCCGCGACGATGGGCCCTCAGGCGGATGAACCGAGATATGCTCGTCGCCGCAGCCATCGTCGCGGATTGGCCAGAGGAAGAGGAAGAACGGGTCTCGTCCGTTCCGGAAGCGCAGTCGGCCTGGTTCCGTGGCATCATGACTGATGTCTGCGACGCGTCAATGCCACGGGTCAGGCCGGGGGGCAGGAGGGGTTCTGTGTACTGGTGGACATCGGAACTCGAACAGCTTCGCACAGCGTGCTCGAGAGCCCGTCGCCGGTTTCAGAGAACCCGAAGAAGACGGCGAGCCACAGCCGAGGAGATCGCCGAAGTGAGGCGGGAGTACGGCGCCGCTGCGAAGGCTATCAGCCTCGCGATCGCGGACGCTAAGGCTCGGTCCTGGAAGGAGCTCGTAGAGGGACTGGACAGGGACCCATGGGGGCGCCCGTACAAAATTGTATTGGGCAAGCTCAGACCGTGGGTCCCACCACTGACGCAGACCTTGGACCCGGAGTTTGTAGGAAGAGTGGTAGATACCCTCTTCCCCAGGAACCAGGGGAGTCACTCATGCCCTCCGTCACCGTCAGAACAAATTACGTGGTCCGACGACTTCGACGTGACGGAGGAAGAGCTGGACCGAGCCGTGAAACGTCTCGCTGCCCGCAACACCGCCCCGGGCCCTGATGGGATTCCGGGTCGAGCATGGGTGTGCGCTTTGGCGGTTCTAGGGAATAGGCTGAGGCGGCTGTTTACCAGCTGCCTCCGTAATAGCATATTCCCTTCCGGCTGGAAGGAAGCCAGGCTGGTTCTTATCCAGAAACCTGGCAGGGCTGCAGATTCTCCCTCGGCGTTCCGACCGATATGCCTGCTGGACGAGGCGGCGAAACTCTTCGAAAGAGTTATTGCCGCCCGTATCCACCAGCACTTGTCGCGAGTGGGCCCTGATTTATCAGTCAACGCCTTTAACTCCCTCCCGTGGTGGGCGATTAGGGAGGCACTGGTGTATCACCAGTTGCCCCCGTACCTGCGAGACATCATCGGGGTTTATCTCCGGGACAGGTCCATATCGTATATGGGTCGGGACGGCGAAGATTGCCGAAGGGAGGTCACATGCGGGGTTCCCCAGGGGTCAGTCTTAGGACCACTTCTGTGGAACCTCGCGTATGATGCCGTTCTGAGGACCAGCCTTCCCCCAGGATTGAGTGTCGTCTGCTATGCGGACGACACTCTGGTACTGGCTGGGGGGCATGGCTTCCAGGAGGTCCTAGAGCTCGCCGAGTCAGGGGTGGCTTGTGTCGTCCAAAAGATCAGCGGTCTGGGTCTAACGGTTGCACCTCATAAGACGGAAGCCCTGTGGTTCCATAGGAAACGCAGAGGTGCAGTTCCCACCCGCTCGATTATCAGAGTGGGGGGAACAGAGGTCGAGGTCGGTCGGTACATCAAATACCTCGGCCTCACCCTGGACAGCCGTTGGAGCTTCGAGGAGCATTTCGAGCGGTTGATCCCCCGAGTTCGCGGGGTGGCGGGCTCCCTACAGAGGCTATTGCCTAATCTGGGGGGTCCGCAGGAGGAAGTTCGCCGCCTCTACTGTGCGGTGATACGATCCATGGCCCTCTACGGAGCGCCGATATGGGCAAAGCGCTTATCGGCCTCCTCCCGCTGCCGAGCTAAGCTCAATCAAGCGCAGCGGGTAGCGGCCATTCGGATCGTACGGGGATACCGCACCATATCGTCGGAGGCGGCGACAGTCCTGGCACGTTTCCCGCCTTTTGATATCCTGGCGGATATGGACGCTAGGGTCTACGACCAGACTCGCGCGATCCGCCTGGGTGAGAGCGGGAACGACCAGGACGAGCTCGAAATGCGGCGAAACGCTCACCGACAGGCCCTGGCGCAGTGGCGCGCGCGGTTGGAACAGCCGCGGAATGCGCGCCAACGTGCTGTCGGTGCCGTTTTGCCTAACCTCGAAGCTTGGGTAGGAAGGGAGGGAGGTCGCGTCACCTACCGACTGACGCAGGTGCTCACTGGGCATGGCTGCTTCGGTGAGTACCTGAATCGGATTGGACGTGAGGAGACGGCACAATGCCAGCACTGCGCAGCCGACTGGGACTCCGCCCAGCACACGCTGGAAGACTGCCCCGCGTGGGCATCTGAACGCGAAGTCCTGGTCGATGAAATCGGACTTGTCCCCGCCAGCAATCATTACTGCCATGCTGGCGGGTGAGGAGGGCTGGGGCGCAGTGGTCTCTTTCTGTGAAGCTGTAATGCTCCAGAAAGAGACCGCTGAACGGGATCGGGAGAGGGCCGATCCCGAGCGAAGAAGACGTCGACGACGTAATGAGCAGCCGACGGGACCGCGGGCCGCCAGAGAGTGGGGACCTCTGGTGGCAGATTAATTGCTGCGGTAGGGGAAAGGATGGCAGCCTGATCGCACTGAAAATGTGATCGGGCTGCAACATCTGGATAGGCTGAGAGGCAGGGAGAAGCCACTGGCTTTCCCTGAGATGGGACCTAGCTAGGTGCGGCGTCGATCTGGGGGACCTGAAATCACATGGTCCGGGTTCTCCCCAGAGCAGTGCGCCTAAGGCTGGCCGTCGGAGTGGTTTTTAGTGGAATCACCACATACTCCTGGCTCCTATATCCCCAAGGAGCCGGAGATCCGAAGGGATTTTCCACTCCGTCAACAAAAAAAAAAAAAAAAAAAAAAGGTTTACTTTAAAATGTAACGTTAAGGAAAGGATACATTAAATATGTTTTCGAGTTTTAGATAATGCCACGTGATGATAAGGCCGCGCAAAGGCGGTTAGAAACGCCGGACAGACAGGCGGTATTCTGTCGAAGTGCTGGAAGACGCAGTCGGTCGCGCTCGTCGGGAAAGTCATAGTTACCGCAGTCGGAGCCGTCTACGTAGTTCCGAAAGAGGGCGAACGTAAGATCAGGCCCTCGACGAGGAAGTGAAGAGACAGCGCCAACGAATTCATGAACTCGAGGGTGGGCTGCAGCGACAGCGTAATATGAATGACAAAGTGGACAACGTCCGCGACAGGAGTATGGAGCAAGAACGTCGCCCAGTGATGCGACGCTCGCAACGTGTGCAGCAGGACGAGCTACGTGCATCGGCAGCCAGACGGGATATCAGGTCGGCTGGTCCGCTATTTACATCAAAGGATGTTGCGAATATTGTTAACTCCTTGGATTCTCTAAAACCTAAACCTCAGCCGTCACCAGTTACAACTTTATCACATTCTAATAGTCATATAAACCAGAAAAATATTCTTCCTGACTTTGATCCTTCTTCAAAGGTTCAAAGGATTGATGTATGGATAAAGAAGGTTAACGAGTGCGCCACTGTTTACAGCTGGGATGAAAAGACAGTTATACATTTTGCTATGCAAAAACTCCCTAGAATTGGCCAAACTTTGGTACGAAAGTTTAAATTCGATATTGTTTAGCTGGGCCGAATGGCAACAAAAATTGTTGATTGCTTTCCCCTTCGAACAAAATTATGGCCAATCTTTGGAGGCCATGCTTAGACGGAAGACTAACCTCAATGAACCTCTGGAAATGTATTATTACGAAAAACTAGCACTATTGAACCAATGTGACATCGATGGCAAGCGTGCGGTGGATTGTATTATTCATGGACTAACTGACAAAACTATAAGGTCCAGCGCTAATGCATTGCGCTGTTTGCGGCCAGATCAACTTCTTAATTTCCTCTTGAGTAATAGAGACGTCTCGCAACATTTAGATAACAATTTCAAAAATAGGTTCCTTGTAGACACGAGAGCTACTTACAATAAAACTAGCAGGCCAGTAAGAACTTTTAATAATCAGCACGGTGAAATGTATTGTTTTAATGGTAAGGAAAAGGGACATCCACATTCTAAGTGCCTTAAGCCTTTAATTCGATGTACAAGATGTAATAGGTATGATTACAAAGTGGAAACTTGCTTCTCTAAAATCGAGACAAATGACAAACATAGTAATGTCTCCAACACGATGAGTATAATGACGTCAGGATCGAATTCGAAATTTATCAGAGAAGTGAAAGTAAATGGGATACCAGTTAAGACTTTTATAGACCTTGGTAGTGAGGTCTCGCTTATGCAACAGACTTTGGCATCTTCTCTCGGACTTGCTTGTAGTTATCCTCCTAGACTCCTTAAGGGTTTTGGAAACAATGTTATTAGCTCCATTGGTGGAGTTAGGGTTGATCTGTGTGTTGACGATGTTAGTGCAGATGTCGTTTGTCATTGAGTGAATATGGACCAGCTGCTATTGAAACCCGAGCTAATGTTGTTACTGACGGGAACATTATTTTAAACGGAAAAGTAATCGGAACGCCGAATCAAGAACTTATAGTAGTCGGTGGGATATATGTGGTTACGAAAGGGATAGTCTATATTCACGTAATTCCGTTGTCGGGTACCTATCATTTATATGAAGGGAATGTATTAGGCAGGGGTCTAAGGTACACGTAATCTATAGCATAAATTCTTTATCTAGTAACTCTACCGTAATCGAACACCATGATATAGATCCAAATCAGGTAATAATAAGTAATACAGTTCAGGAGTATGAGAAACAACGACTCCTGAATCTATTGTCTAAGTATAGGCATTGTTTTGCTGGAGCATTGAAAGAATTGGGATGTACGAATATGGCTGAGATGCGGATAGAACTAAACAGTAACCAACCCGTTGTGTATAGGCCATACAGGCTGTCTCATAAGGAACGTGAACACGTGAGAGAAATGGTAGGGAAGATGATTAGTGCAGGGATAGTTCGAGAATCTGTTTCCGAATATGCGAGTCCTATAATACAGGTCCGTAAGAAGGACGGGTAACAGAGACTTTGCATCGATTATAGACTGAGATCGCTAGGCTTTCAGGGCAAGCATACTTCATAACCTTAGATTTAGCATCCGGGTACTACCAGGTGCCACTCTCTGAAGATTCAAAGTTTTTAACATAATTTGTGACTCCAGATGGCCAATATGAGTTTAATCGTATGCCGTTTGGGCTTGCAAACGCACCTGCAGTTTTTCAACGTTTAATGAACAAAGTCTGATCTGATCTGAAAATGGGATCTGCAAGGTTTTCAGAAGCAACCGCGTACATTGATGACGTACTTATATCCATATATAAGTACGTCATCAATGTACGCGGTTGCTTATCGTAAATGAGTGCTTAGGTAGGCTTGAAAAGGTCATGAGGTTGATAGAGCAGGTAAATCTAACACTAAACTTGTCAAAATGCAGATTTCTTCAAAGTCAAATTAATTATTTAGGCTATGAAATCAGCGCTGAAGGCGTACGCCCTGGAGATAAGAAAATTCGATGTGTTCTCGACTTTTCCTGTCCGACCAATCCGCATTCTGTTCGCCAATTTTTGGGGTTAGTTGGATATTTCAGAAAGTTCATTAGAAATTTCGCAACACTATCTCACCCGCTTAATAGACTGCTTAAAAAGGATGTGGCCTGGGTATAGACGGGGGAACAGGAGAAAGCGTTTACGGAACTCAAAAATCGGTTGGAAGATAGGCCCATATTAACCATCTATGACCCTAATGCTGAAATAGAGCTGCATACCGACGCCAGCAAAATTGGTATTGGGGGGATATTATTGCAACTAGCTGTAGTGTGTTCACTAAAAAAAATTATTGTTTATCTTTTAGGGCAGGAATTTAAAATCATAACTGACTGTAGTGCACTGCGTTCGACGTTTACCAAACGTGACTTAATTACATAAAAGAGTTTCGGTGTTCGGTGCAGTATCGGGCCAGTGCGAAGATGTCAGACGTAGATGCCTTGTCACGGAATCCTTCAGATAATGGCTCACCATTATCTGAAGGATATCTGTAGGAATTATCTGATATGATATAATCTCAATTAATGATACCAATGACGAATAATATCCCATGTGTGATGTGATGATTATTAGTAAAGATGATTGGATGCAGACTTTACAATTAGGCGATAGTGAACTCGTTCGGATTCGTGATATATTGGCGTCTGATATGAACGCTGAAGGGCTAAAATATATCAGAGACAACTACCTGATTAGAGACGAGAGACGAAAAACTTTATAGATATATTGACTCGGATAAGACCAAAATACGTTGGGTTGTGCCGAAGGGGGCGAGGTGGCAGATCTGTCGTATGAACCATGATGAAATTGGTCATCTGGGTGTAGAGAAAACCCTTGAGCGTATAAGAAAGACTTTTTGGTTTCCAAAAATGTTACCACAGAAGGCTTGCTACATACAATTGATAAAGTCGAAATTCCTTTCCACACCTTGCATATTGACCACCTTGGACCATTCTTGCGTTCAAAGAGAGGAAACTGTTACCTGTTAGTGGTAGTAGACGGTTTCACGAAATTTACATGCATTAGGCCGGTTCGTAACACAAAAACACAGTCCACATTACAAGTATTGGAAGAAATATTCTATACATTTAGGAATCCCGATCGTATTATCAGTGACCGCGGTACTAGTTTTACGTCTTATGCGTTTAAACATTTTTGTGCGGATAAGGGCATACGACGTATTCTTAATGCGGTTGCTAGCCCAAGATCCAACGGACAAGTTGAAAGATGTAATCGTACAATCCTTGCTTCATTAACGGCGCAAAATCTATATTTCGACGAAAGAGACTGGGATGATAAGGTAGGTAGAGTCCAATGGGGTAATAATACTCCTCATAAGACCACGGGTAGGACGCCGACAGAAGTAATGTTTGGACCAAAACTGAACTCTGAGATTAATCCTAAATTGAATGACATAGTACGTGAAGCTCGAGAAAATATTGATTTAGTTGATATTCGGACATCTGTGAAAGATAAAATCGACGAAGAACAACAAAAGCAAAAATTATATTATAATAGAAATCGACGGCCTGCGCGTGTCTATAATGAAGGAGACTTAGTTAAAATCACGAGAACCACATTTAATAACGACGAAAAAGCAAAAAGCTTATTCCGTCATACATTGGGCTTTATCGAGTGGTTGCCGTCGTAGGGAATGACCGTTATAGGATTGCCGCTATACCCGGACTAAGTAGCACTAAAAACAATCGCAAAACCACCGTAGCTTCCGATCGAATGTTGCCTTGGGTTCATGTTGCTGCCTTGAAGTTAAACGAGGGCGTTGACAGTGATGATACCGATAGCAATGACAATGATGATGAAACGATGTAAACATTATATGCTTATATCAGTTATTGTGATTCGATGTATGTTAGGAGTCACTTATGTACATTATTAATTCACACAAGTCATGTAGAAGTAAATTATTTAATTTGGCAATACGAATATAATACCTCATATTCTAACTGTATGTGTGAGCTAAATGAGCGTAAGGTATCAAATGACGTGCCGTCATAATTGATTTTGTGTTATTCTTGCAATTTGTGTAATTAACGATACTGATACATGTGTATGTTTGTGTAGAATAAACAGCTGTGTAAAACTTATGTATTTCCAACAAGGTCGTTAGGACTATGCGGTTGTGGTATATACACAAATGAACCAGGGTATTATAATTACATACATTATTATACAATTGTAATACCTATTCATCTGAAACAAGAAATATGATTATAAAATCTGTGCGTGAATATCTAAATACAAAATGTAATTATCTTATTTCTAATTATATGGCAAATAAGCACAATACAAAATGATTACTTATTGTACTCTTGTGAGGTGGAACCACCAGATTATTTATAAGTAGATATTCCTTAGTAATTATGGTATGTAGAAATGAAGGGCTCATAGACCATAATTGCTTAACGACTGTGTTGCTGTTGGTGAGACAGGAATTGCTCACGAGCAACATAGCCGAAGGTTGTAAATGAGATGTTACTCTTGTGAGGTGGAACCACAAGATTATTTAAAGTATTCAAATATTGATAATAGAAATGTAGTTTATAAAATGCGTCTCTTGTAAGAAGGAATCTTCACAAGGTTTTACTTTACCTATTTGTATTTATTGGAAATCATGCTGTCAAGAGTAGAATGTGGTCTGGCAATGAAACTATGTTTTGTTACCCTGTTTTAAATTTGTACAAGATGATTTGTAATTGATGCTATAGTGACTTAACAAGCCGAATGTTAGGTTCAGGATTCCAATGGCTTGCGTGCATGAGGACATGCACGAGGTCAGGATGGACGAATGTTAGGTTTCATAAATTATATCAAACGATTATTAGTATTTGTTTTTAAAAATCGATTTGATTCATTTAACTGGCAACACTTCGGTTTTCTTGAGAAATGTGATGGCGGTTAAGCCATTTTTCGGGAAGCTAGCATCAAAGACGGACATCTTGGTAAGTACGCATTTAGATAGGTTAGATAGATAGGTACTCTTTACTGCTCACCATAAATAGGATACATGCGATGATACATACAGAAAAAAAAAACAGTGATACAATGGGCGGCCTTAGGGAGATCGCAGGCTGCGAGCCTGCGATCTCTTCCAGTCAACCTTTAGATGGACTATACTATAAAGTAATATGTAGCGTGTGGTGCGCATTTACTACTTCCGTATAACTAATATTTACATACATAATTACACATTCACGGATATACATTCATACATTTACATACAAATATAAATAGGAATACATACATAAACATACATAAACATACATACACATACCAGTATAGCACATAGTTATTACTGAGATAAATAGTGATTCTTAACGAGTTATTTAAAAATACCTACTGACTTTGCCTGCCTTATACTCGTAGCTGCCGGTAATGAGTACCAGAGGCGTGCTGCTTTCACCGTAAAAGACGTATCGCTAAAAGTTGTCGAGTGTGTTGGAACTTCTAAGGTCAAGTTTTCCGATGATTTCAAGTATCGAGTATGTGTATCATGAATAAATGCAAATCGCTTCTTTAAGTAGATAGGGGTTGTAGGATTAAATAGAGTATTATACAGTAATGACAGGATGTGAGTATTCCGGCGAAGCCGAATTGGGAGCCACTTGAGTTTTGTTCGAAATTCGGAAACATGATCATATTTGCGCAAGCCGAAAATAAATCGTATACAGAAATTCTGAAGTCTCTCAAGTTTATCAAATTGGTCCTCGTTAAAATCAAGATAGCTGACATCGGCATAGTCGAGAATGTGTAGTGTATGTTAGTGGTAGTAGGAAGGAAATTACGTAACCTTCTTAAACAAGCTGCAGAGGCAAATATTTTACGGCTAACATTTTGTAACAGAGCATTCCATGACAGGGTTTTATCGATGTATATCCCTAAATTTTTAACACTATCGCTTATTGGAATTGTTACTTCTTGAAAAGACACTTGTGGTAGTGCAAGCAAGTCAACCTTTGAGATAAGTCTGGAGCTGCCGATTATTGTCACTTGAGTCTTACTAGGATTTACTTTGAGCCCATACATTGTTGTCCATCGACATACGTTGCTCAGATCTCTATTGTTGGCATCAATAGCTAGTGTCAGTTCATTGAGAGTACTTTGGTAATATACCTGCAAATCGTCTGCGTATAGGTGAAAGGAAGAAAGGAGTTGATTAGTGATGGCATTAATGAATATTGAAAATAACAGGGGAGATAAAACGCAACCCTGTGGCACACCAGCGGACGTATTCGACCAGGTGGAGTAGTTGTCATCCAGGCGGGTACGCTGCCGACGACCAAACAGGTAACTACAAAACCAGTCAATAGCTGATGGAAATATGTTAAGAGAGTTTAATATGGCAAGGAGAACGTCAAAATCAACAGTGTTAAAGGCGTTGCTAAAGTCTAATAGAGTGAGTTTTCCATTCTCCGTACCTGTCCTTATATCGTCTGTAATATTAACGAGAGCCGTTGTTGTGCTGTGGCCCGGACGGAATCCGGATTGAAATGGGTTTAGGAGGTTATTTCTGCAGAGAAACGAATTAAGCTGGTTATGGATAAGTCGTTCAAGGACCTTTGACAGAAAGGGTAAAATGGAGATGGGTCGGTATTCGGAGAAGGATACGGGGTTATGATTCTTAGGTAAAGGAATAAGCTGAGCCTCTTTCCATTTTGATGGATATACACCGCTAGTGATGGATTCATTAAGTATACGAGTGATTATGGGTAAAATTTCATCAAGGATAAGGAGAACCATGTTGCGACTGATAGAATCAGAGCCAACAGCATTAGACGTAATGGACCGAATACTCTTCTCAACATCACATGCAGACACTTGATTAAAAACGAAAGGAGGGTAGTCAGGGGTTGGAAGTGTTGAAACATAATTTAATGTATTATTTTTGGTTGTCTCATTAAAATCAGACGAAGAAGAGAAGTGCTGGTTGAGTAAGTTAATGTCTAATTGGTTACGAGACAGCTCTTACGCTGTTTTCCAATCCCTAAAGACCTAAGAAATTTCCAGACTTCAGCTGGATCACCGTTTTGTACGGAGCTATGAATATGTTGGCGTTGTGCATTCCTACACACCTTGTTGCATTGATTTCGCAAATGTATATATTTTTCTTTGTTGTAATCCGACGGTCTAGCTTTATATTTTGATTTTGCCGCTGCTTTGTGATAAATTAGTTTTTTTATTTCATCTGTAAGCCAAGGTGATGGTAGATGTCTCAGCTTAACAGGTCGAACCGGTGCATGTACGTCATAGAGTGCGTACCAACTTATTGTTAAATACTTCAATCATTTCATCAGTGGAGGATGCTGACAGAAGAGGGACCCAGTCGATCTTCTCTGCATCTTTTTCAAGAAGATCACGATCCATACCACTGAAATTGCGCTGCATTATAAGTCTTGACTTTGCCTTACGAGGACGGGTTTTGTATAAAAGGAAGAGAAGGTCATGATAAGAAAATTCGTCTGCCGAGCATTGTCCATGTTTGGCAACGCGATCGACTGACGAAACAAGGATAAGATCAAGAAGAGAAGGAGCACAGTTAGGAGGACATTTAATTTTGTACGAAAGAATAAAACATTACTTGTTCTGTTTGATTATTTATTTTGTCCATTGAAATATGCAGGAAGCCAAGTGACTCTTGATTAAATGGTCATTGAAGGTATTATTAGAACCATTGCTTAGTCTAGGACGCAATGTCAACTATTTATTGTGAGGATAATATCGAAATATATATTTATAATTCTGTCTTATTGTTGTTTTACTACAATACAATGACGGTTCAAGATACACTGGTCATGAAATAAACAAGACAAACCACAAACGATTGAACAACGAAGGATTCTTATTTATGCACTTCAAGGTAACAGTTCAATCCTTCTTTGTTCGACTGATGAATTTAATTTATTTATTTACCTTGTTTATGATGTCATGCTTCTTACACATTTTTTCCAAATATGTTTTCTCTAATCTTTTTAATACAGGTAAAATATACTGCAAAATTTGGTCTAATTAATGATAGGCGTTTAACGAAGCCTGGTACTATTATCTATGTTGTAGCCTTGTAGCCAAAGTTTATCGGCGCTTTCCAAGTCTCTTAGGTTTTGATGTAATTTTATGTAATTCTGAAAGCACGTTTCCGGAAAATTCATTTTTACAGCCTAGTCGAGTGTCAACATGCTTTTTTCGATATTTTTATTCAATGTAAAAATACCTGAGATAAACTGAAATTGTCGTACTGTAAGCAGACTAAACGATTAGTGAAAAATACAATATTAGTATTAAAATGATTAATACAGTAATTTGAAAGTGCACAATCCTATTCTGGTACTTATAACACTGTTTGAAATAATAAAACAGAACTAATGCGCACAATCTTATCATTCACCCTTTACAAGGTAGAGAAACAGCTGTTATTTTGACACCACAATATTCTTTTTTAAATTCTGCCTTCAATTTTGTAGAGAGTGTAAAGTAAAGAAAATGTCATATTAGTGTAGATGTCGATGATACAGGCGATTGAGATAGTACTAGCACACCATATTCAGAAACTGGAAGCGTCGATAGTGATGATTCGGGAAAGCAATATTATGACGAATAATTACTAGTTAGGTACATTTGGATTACAGTATTATAATTAACACAGTAAGAAGAATAGGCAAATCTGTATTTGTAAAAATGTTAAATTAGTTTGTGTACGCTTCAAAAACTCAAAAAGTTCTGCACCGATGAGCTCAAATTTTGAAACGATATACAAACGACTGGCCTGTTTGCCTGTTGATCTAGTGGTTAGTGACCCTGACTGCTAGCCAGAGGCCGTGGGTTCGATTCCCAGCCAGGAAAAATAATTGTGTGATGAGCACGGTCATTTGTTCTGTGAGTCTGGGTGTACTTTATCTATAATATGTATGTATTTAGAAATATATAAGTATGTTTATTAGCAGTCTAGTCAGTCTAGTTTCTGACCAAACGGCCGTGTGTAAAATGTATGAAAATACTAAATAAATATTAATATTAAAATGCTTCAAGGATGCTTTAATCTATTTTTCATGTTACTTTTGTTCCTCGCCTCAGCGAATCATCATCAATGTCAGGGTACAGCTAGTAGGTAATACTATAATTTGTGTATAGAAACGATGCTTAAATAACTAATTAATGAAAGATAACAAAAACTGTAAAAAGCCATTGAATGAATGTTTTAGATTTATTATAAAGATAAAAAATAACTATTCCCACGCAGAGTTCGTGATTTTGCGCTCACTTCAAAATCTTTTTTACTTAATAAAGTTATTCTAGATATTCATTGAAACCTTATTAGACACTGAAAGTACAATAATATATGTATTTAAGTGTTCTGTTTTTACTTTCGTTAAAAATTCATTAATGAGGTCATATTTACGTTGTGTTATGACTAGTTACAATGAATATTTAGAATAATTTCGTCGAGGACAAAACTTTTGATGTTGTGTTAATGAGGTTTCTGGTTATAATGTATAACTACTATTCTAAGAGTTTCGGTCCTAATAAGAATGTTGATAACCTAGTTATACATTATTACACACGTATTGGATAGGTTAAGCTTTTGACAGTGACATCTAAAATATTCCTATTATTCGAATACTAAGTCAGCTGTATACTTGCATGCGCTTTCCGCTCCGTGAATCCTTGACACCTTGCTTTATTTATATGTAAATAATCTAAGCCTTGATCTCTTATTTTAGACATCTAGCATTCCAGCGGTGTATGTCATGCTGAGTACAGTCAACTTGATTATACAACTAGTAATACCTAAATAAATCATGAATTTTAACGGAGTTGTCTGATCTGATATTCCTTGTTTCATTGACTAATAATAGAGGTAACTCCAACTTAAAACAGTATTCGACGGACTGTTTTTTGTTTAAGTTTTTTTTAGTTGTAGGTTTATTATTAATTAGTTCTAGTAACTCTGAGCTTATGGGATTTTTTCTGTCACTACAGTTGGCACGTCGAAGTAATTCATAAAAAGCGAAAGAATTTTGTTCGGACCCTTTTTTTTCTGTGCGAAAAACGCCTCGGATACCACCCACCGGTTATGTCGGACTCGAACCGACCAAAAACCGCACGCCGTCTCGGGTATCAGTTGCTGGGGAACCAGGTGTACCCTAGAAAGGAAATCCCTGGTGCACCGACGGCCCTCGGGCCATCGGCGTGAAGATGACCCCCTCCTGTCCCCTTAGTGCTCCCGAAAGGCATCATCTCGGCCTGCTTCTGCTAGGGTGACAGATGGCCTCACCTGCTACCCCCAGGCCTGCGTGTCCATAGACCCCTTACAAGGTTTTCTTTCTTTCGTTTTTTACTTAAAAATAGTAGAAGTGTAGATGGTCAACATCGAAATATACACGTGAATAAAACTAAATACATTTGGTCAATATGTCAGTGTAGAATAAGTCCTTTGCGTAATCTATTTTTCCACGAAACTTTTGTCAATCTTTCTATTAATTACGTACTTAATAAAAAAACAAATGATCCTGATACTACCACTACATATATATTTTACATATTTATATGTAAAAAGCTTCGCTTACATAATGTAATGCATATTTTATTTCTCCTGTTTTCCAATTACATCTTTAGACTGTTTTGACAGAATGTTTGAACCGTGTGCGTTGCCTCATTGCGAAACTCACGATACAATCTAGAATCTTACAAACAATCACAGGATGTTGTCCTGTGACTGTTTGTAGTACATATTGTATCCTTACAGTTGATTTTGACGAAATCGTCTAAAAATTTAATATAAAATTAGTATATTAATTCTAACTTAATAAAATATCAAAATATGAAGGTCCTAACTCCGAAGGCCCTCCATTCGTGATTACGATTGTGATTGTGATTAGTAATAACAACACAACGACGTAAGTCGCATGTGTTTTGGGTTCGCTTTGTCAATAGATGTCCTGTTGTAAAATAATATCTTAGTAATATAGGTAACGATATTTAGTCAAGATAGTGTAAAGTTAAGCAGTATTTTTGTGTGTCAAGGTAAGGTGATTGCCAATTTATGATTTTATTTTTATATGTATTTGAATTTTACTGCCTTATTTACGTAATTTTAGTAGGCCAAAATCTTCTTTCTAAGGAGAGGCATACGTCCAGCAGTGGACGACTAAAGGCTGTTGATGTGATGATGTGATTTATGTTTATGAAATAGAACTTAAAATCAATATATTTAAACTGATTGAGTGGTGTGGTGGTTAAGGGTTTATGTGGCAATCAAGTGGCAATTATCAGTGTATCTGAAACCCCGAGTTCAACCGTATCGTAGTAGACTTAAAGCCGACTCCAACCTAGTTTGGGAAAAAAGGCTCGGAGGTTGATGTGACGTATGATTATGTGTAGGCATGATTTCGGTAGGTGTAATCAATCAGTCAGCTCTAACACCAACAAGAATGTTGAATCTTACATAACTAGGCAGGTGTTCCCAAAGTCACCGCTGGAGTATAAATCATATTTTTATTAATATGTAAATTGCTATAATCTGCTTCAATACTAAGGTTATATGTATAATATTAAGGTTGGAATGTTGAATGCTTAGTTTGTAATTTTACATCAGTCTGATTCTGAAGTGTTTACGATGTGTAGACACTTCAGATCACTTTTTTTTCTGTGCGGAAATCCTCTCCGAGACCACCCACCGGTGGGGGGGTTATGTTCGACTAAAAACTGCAAGCTGACTTGGGTACTAAACCGTGAAGATATAATCCCCCTTCTAAGTTCACATGTGGTAACAAGTAACTTCGGAACCCTACACTGCGCTTAGCCCGATACACACTTGGCCGGTTTGTCTTTAGGTATATAGTATAAAACACGACGTATGTATAGCTTAAAACAATACTTACAACAATCAATTGTTTCCTATGTTCTAAAAATTGTTTGAGCGAGATCAGTGATAATTTATTTAGTTTTTAGGGTTTCGTACCTCAAAAGGTAAAAAAGGAACCCTTATAAGATCACTTTCTTGTCCGTCTGTCCGTGTGTCACCACCGATTTTCTCAGGAACGGGTAGACCTAGCAAGTTGAAATTTATACCAGATACTGAGGTATAAAAATCAAGACGATAAAGAGATATGGGCAAATTCGATTTTCGCGAAAACTTGTAAGTACCAAAATTTACCTTAATTTTCAACTTTTTATTTTTCAGAATTTTCTCCTTACTTGTGCTGTAAGACCTTGCTTTTAACTTGAATTGACAATTCTAGGTCAGGGTTCAGGTTTAGGGTCGAAAACCTATATGGCAGTTCCCGTTGACCTAGAATCACGAAATTTGGCAAAAAGTCTTACAGCACAAATAAAGGAATAATTCCAAAAAATAAAAAAGTTGAAAATTAAGATAAATTTGGGTACCTACAAATTTTCGCAATAATCTACGTAAAATTTGTGTAGATACGGAACCCTCGGCGCACGAGTTCGTCTCGTACCTGACCGATTTTTTTTCCGTATTGGTTAGAACAAGATTGTAAAATTATATGTTTCGTTTCGTGTTTATTATTAAGTATACATATAATATATGTATAAGTAAAGTACATTTTAATGTGATCATGACTATGAGTAAAATCGGATTATAGGATATTTGATGTCCAATTAAATTTTGTCACAAACGTGAACATGGCATGGCTTGCTCGTGTGATGAGCACTATAATTTGTTTTAAGTCTGGATATTGCAATTTATATCAGTATGTTTATCACCAGTCTGGTTGTATAGCACAGGATTGCTTAGTTTGGAATTCAACAGCCGCGAGTGTGATGTATCAGTTACTATTAGGTATGTATGTGTGTAACAGTTACTATATAACATTCATATGGTTTTAAAGACAGGGTCTCATATCAAAGTTATACATAAGAACAATATCTGTCCAATCCAGAATATTTAATTAATATTGCAAATGTATTGTGTTACAGATGGCTCAAGTATGTGACAAGGATGTTAAAGCTATCAGAGTCTGGCTTGCGAAAGAACCACATTTGCCGAAAAATTTCGGTTTGTATAAAATATAGTTAAGGCCTTAACTACTGAGTCCACATATTATCATTCAGTTTATGTAATCACCATAGATTATAATTTTTGACAAAAAGTTTGAAAACTAATTAAAGTTTTATCTATGTTTTAAAATTAACTGTTTGAAATGACTTCGTGACCAAAATATTATTTTTTTCTCTTACACATCATTGGATGGACAAAATTATTTTTCATTGTGATATATTTTAACTATTGACTTCTAGGGTAAAGTTTAATAAGTAATAAGAAATTTTACCAAATTATATTATATTTACAATGTTTTTTTTCAAATCAGTACAAATTATGTAATGAGTACAGAGTGAACCGTTGTTAGGTCTAATATATTTATAGTTTTAGACGTGTAACGCTTTAAACGCTTATAAAAAACATTCGATTAACCTATGTGATAAAAAAGGTATTTCCTAATTCATTACAATTCAATACTCAGCTAATTCCTTACTAAACTAATTAAATACATTCACACTCTTAGAGATCGGAAGAATCGAGTCCTACACAAACCGGTTCGATCACGGACACAAATATTGATCATCGGAGTATTTTACTGGTTAATTTCAAACAATTATAATGAAGGTTCGGGTAATTTATGTTTGAAATCATTATAACTGATGAGAACTTAAAAATATTAGGACCGGTTACTTGGTCAGTACATTTCAAACGACATTGCGGAACTCATTGAAGTTCCGTAAACTTAAAGGTGGTTCTTATAATTCTCGGTTCCTTAACATTTCTTTTCTGAATGTCATATAGCATCATTGTCTGATTCTCCTACGATGACGTTGATGACGACATTGACGGTTTTCTTGCTTACGTAAATCTGGTAATTATCGCCTGTTTGAGTCTCCTGTCATTTCAGAGTTCAAGTTTGTAATCCATCAGATTACCATTTCTAGATAGAAAGGCTAACCCTTGCATATATAATGTGTATGTAAAATTTATTAAAATGACATAGGATTAGGAATTAACTATATTTTTGCATCGCCTAATGAAGTTAATGTATTGTGTATAACTAACGGAACTTATAAGAACTATATTTTTTATTACGTAATTAACACATTATTATATATCATTATTGTTAAAACATTAAAAATGATATTGGAAACACACTTTACTGGTACGAATTTTAACGGAAGGGTTGCAATCATTTTATCTTACTGCTATTCGCAAAAGGTAGGTATGTTATATAACGTATGTTAAAAACATAAAATAAAACCAACATAAATCTTAATAAATTTAGAAATGACTCATTGCTTACGCTGATCTTCATAAACGAGGTATCACTTTAATCACATAATAGATAATGTTTATATGTCAATTTCTCAACAAAACAAACCGCCCGGAGATTATGGATTAGAATTGATTCATTGATTAATTAAATTTTAAATTTGAAACTTTACTGGATTATTTTATGGTTATAATGCTAAATTAAGCTAATTTAATACCATAGGAAATTTCGTCCAGTCGACCTATGGGTTGTGTTAGTGTTAGTGTTGTTAGTGTTTGGGTTCCCTTTCGACTACCAAAAACAAAATGTAAACGTTTTTATAAATATTCATAAATGATCTATCTCAATCAATTTAGCCCATAATTTTTATATAATGTTTGTGTTTATCTAATACCATTAAATACTAATTTCTAATCCAAATACTTCAAAAATACAAGATTTCATGTTACAGTCAATTTAGGTTCCGGCTAAAAAAACACAATCACATGTCATTGTGATTGTGTTTTTTTAGCCGGAACCTAAATTGAACGTATTTATCTATCAAATTTCCGGATTTTCGTGATCTAAAGTAATATACAGGTATTATATGCAACTTATTCTGTTAGTTCGTAAACACGATAAACAGGTTTTACCAATTTTTTTGTTATATGACGTCAAAATGTAATTTTTTTATAAAAAACCAGACAAGTGCGAGTCCGACATTTTTATGATGTATGTTTTTTAATCAAAAACCATACATCATAAAAATAATAAAAAATCTGTTTAAGCTTGTATTTTTATGATTTAATTATAAATGTGTAATTTTCAGATTTTTCCCTATACTTGTAGTATAAGTATTATTTGGGAAATTTCATAGTTATAGGTCAAAAATACTTGAAAAAATTTGATTCCCTTGAGTGTCTAAATATAAGTTTTTGTGGCATAAAAGACCGTATCTTTTTTTACGTTAACTTAGAAGCTTGATTTTTTTACAGCTTCAAGAGACTGTAGACCTGAGTAAATTGTTTTAATTTGAACTCGATACCTTTACGTGTCCCCGAGATAAAGGGTCTTGACAGACAGACAGATGGAAGGACAAATATATTTTCCTTTTGAGATACAGAACCTTAAAAGATTTTGTTTTAGGGTTCACATACATACACATAAAGCGGCAACTCAAACTTGAGACTCTTGAGTTGCAGGTGTCAACGGGGGACGGTAATTACTTACCATCAGGGCCTCAATTCTGCTATTTTATGTTAACGCCAAGCCACTGTCGTTCTATTGACACGCTATTGAGACACAATTGAGACGCCATTGACATCGGTCAAAATATCAGTATTATACTAACATAAATTCACAGTTTCAATAGAATGTCGATATAGTAATAATAATGTAGGTCATCAATGGTGATCAGCAACATTGATTTACCTGGAAAATTAAATATATCATCATATAATTTTCTTACAAATTTAAACTGTACCGTTTACCAAACTATTACAAAGAAATCGACGACATTTGTATCAGTGGCAGTTCAGTGACAATTCAAGACAGGCCATTGGTCTTACATAGTTAGTAGAATACGAAAAGTGCAAAACTATTTCGACGACATTCCATCTTCAGTATTTCACCATTGATACAATATTAAAATTAATTATTAATTAATTAATTATTTCTTATAATAAATAAATATATGGTATAACACTATTGCATTGGGCTAAACCTGTAATAATAGTTGTTTTTAAAGGAAATAAATAAATAATAAAAATAACAGAATTTAGGTCTAGGTGACCAGTCTGCCCGTTAGACACTAATTCCAAATATCTGTCTTTTATAGGCTGGAAACATTTTTTTTTTTTGTAATTTACTTAGTAACATTAACTTAAATATTATAATATAACTATTTTTTTTTAATTGTAGAGGACGTAACAATCAAGAAATTCCTCTTCAGTTGCAACTGCAGCTTAGAGAGAACCAAAAAATGCATTGACGAGTTTTGTACGCGGAGAGCCCAAATGATCGAGGTTTTTTCAAACAGGGATCCTTTAGCAAAGGACATTCAACACGCTTTTATGACTACGTAAGTAACATTTCTAATGAGTATAATACTCTTACATTTATATTATTAGGGGTCTTTTTATAAATGCATAGTTCTGCCCTATGTGCTCTTGACACCTTAAGGTTTTGTTTTCATTTATTATCAGTGTAGCTTTTCATTTCAATGTTTTTTAAAAGTGTAATCGTGTGTGATTAACCGTTTTAGACCATGCTTCGACAAATAGGCCAACTCGACTGGACTGATATCATGACATAGACGAAAATTGGTACTGAACAATTCTGTTACCGAGTTACGAGTAGAGAGAGACCCTTGGAGAGCCGCAGTCCCTCTAATACTGGCGGGACGCTAAAAACGCGACAACAGACTGAATGAAGAATGTTCAGTTTTAGGTGTCCATACCATAAAAACGTGCATAATTTATGATAATTGAAATTTAAAATGCCTCGGTGGTGCAGTGGTAGCGTATGCCACTGCTGTGCTGAGGTCTCGGGTTCGATTCCTTGGTCGTACCAAATGTTTGTATAATCTACAAATATTTGTTTCGGAGTTTTGTGTTTTCTATGTATAATATGTATGTATTTACAAAAAAAGTATTTAAGTAGACTTGCAACGAATAGTATATTCGGCAGTATACCGAATACCGAATATTCGGCGAGGCCCCTGACCGAATAGCCGAATATTAGGCAAAAGTATTCGGCTGGATTTTAGCGCCAAAAATTTGTACAGACGTGAATTAAATTATGTACCTGTTTTATGTACCAATGACTACTTAATAAATGATTATAAAAGAAATAAGAACCTTACCCTTCTAAATTTTGATTACCACAATAATTCAAATACATAAAATCCTCTATTTTTCCAATTCAGAAGATGATTATGTACCTGTGTTATGCACCAATGACTACTTAAATGATTATAACAGAAATGAAAATATGAATATATACGTAATCAATCGATTTTAATTTTTCATTTTACCAATTATTTCTCAATGACAAAATATATTATTTAAGTATTCGGTATTCGGCCGAATAATATGTAGATATTCGGTATTCGGCCAAATATAATAAAAGCAGCCGAATAGGCCGAATACCGAATAGTAACCGAATATTCGTTGCAAGTCTATATTTAAGTATTTTATTAGTTGAAAATTAGATGGCGTTGTGTGTATCAGTTGTCTGAAATATTTATTTATTATTTTAGCGTCAACCATGCTAATTCAGTACATCGTCAGACATATTAACTTCTTATTAAACTTTGAAACTTTCCAGAAATGTCACATGCTACATGGATGGAACTGACGAGATTCTGATACACGAGCTAAGGGTAGCACCGAGCGAATACGACTTTTATGCTTTTTTGAAAGCTTTCTCCTTACAAGCCGATGATTGGATCGAGCGCGAACGTGAAGTCTTACCTGAAAACCATGTAGTTATATTAGATATAAAACTATACACTCTAAAACTGGTGGCCAAATCAAATATATTCTATTTTCAAAAATTTATTCTTTTCTTATTGGTAAGTTGCATGACGTAAGTTAAATTAATTACACGAATTATACACGATTGCTTATTGACGAATCCCAATATACTTTTTAGGGTAGATTATCTAAATGTATATTTGGACATAATCATACAGGTACCTTTATGAGGTACGTGATCTAAAGGGTTTATCTACAATATAAATCTAATATATCAAGAGAGTCTGTAAGCTTTTTATTCATAAAGCATGTATGACTAGCTTGTAACAATAGTATAAAAATACCTTTTCGTACAGATCATTAAAGATAGATACAATACTAACATAAAATGTTAAGTTATACTAACTTTTAAACTTTCGCGTTCCATGATAATTAATATTATTTAACGGGAATTAACGCGATCTCTTATTTAGGGTATTACATACCTCTGGTTTGCCTGACGTTTCGACCAGGTTGCACCGGCCGTGGTCACAGGCTGACTGCAACCTGGTCGAAACGTCAGGCAAACCAGAGGTATGTAATACCCTAAATAAGAGATCGCGTTAATTCCCGTTAAATAATATTAAATGTTAAGTTTTGGACAAAAGTTAAAATGTATCTTAAATTATAAAGCTAGATCACTATGGAAATTATTGCAACGGATATAAAGACTAGTAGATTCATTAAAACTAATAAAATGAAATATAAAAAATATATTTAAAAAAATATTATTTAATTTATACATACCCATAGTACAAGCTCTGTGTAGTTTGGGACTAGATGGCGATGTGTGATGGTGGTAGAATATATATTATTATAACTGAAACGGATACAAAGAAGACCCAGACTCAGAACAACGATTTGTAAATCACACAGTGTTGTCTGCACTTGCAGCAGGAAGCGGCGAGGTGACATCTTAAACTATGCAGTCGCTATCGCGTCGCGCATATTGATATTGGCTCCATGATTTGTTCTAAGCTCTTTAGTTTCTAATACGAGAATATAACTAAAAAGTATTAAAAATTGTTGTATTCCAGGATGCCATGCCAGTTCGGTTGAAACAAGTTCATATTATTAACTGTCCGTCGTTCTATGAATACTTGCACAACTTGGTTAAGCCAGCGCTACCTGATTACATTTGCAATATGGTAAGCATTACAAATGTTAAAATTTGTTATTTGATATAAATGTATATCACGCGTTTAATTCATGCTAGGTCATTCATTATAAAGTTATTAGCTGTTTCACTTGTGTTTAAAGGTCGTCTTTCTAATTCGAAGGATATCATCCAAAGGTCGCGGGTTCGATTCCCGCTCAAGTCACACATTTGTGTGCATGTACATTTAATGTTTGATTTGGTCTGGGTGTTTCTATGTATAATATGTATGTATTACAAAAAAAAAAAGTATATATGTATTTATATCAGTTGTTTAGTACCCATAGCACAAGCTCTGCTTAGTTTGGGACTAGATGGCGTTGTGTGAATGTGGTAGATTATTATTATTATTATTATATGTATTTATTTACAAAAAACAAAGTATACATATATTTATATCAGTTGTCTAGTACCCATAGTACAAGCTCTGCTTAGTTTGGAACTAGATGGCGTTGTGTGAATGTGTTAGAATATTATATTATATATTAAAATATGTAGAGGTCACAAGTTTTTTCTTTCTTTAAAAATGAACAAAACAACCGTTATAATATTTCAATGTACACATCCACTATACACTCCGTGTTTATGTTTTAAATATTTTAGTTTTATAAAACTTTATAACCTTGGTTTGCGTGTGTCTAAGTTTATTGAACTCCCTGATCTACATTGAAGTGTGCATAAGAATAGTAGCATTACTATTGTCAAATAATAGGCCAAACCTCCATTTTGCCTTGAATGTCGCAGGACCTTGAGTAAGCATTGCAGCTCAATCTAAAATTGAAATGTTCCAGATCCATTTCCACTCAGATCATACAGGTTTATACACGTTCATAAATAGAGAAAATTTACCTAAGGACTATGGTGGGGATTGTCAGGATATGGCTGAACAAAATGCGTTTTGGGTGAAACAAATTTGTGAAAACAGGTAAGCAATGTTGCGCGCAGGTCCGCGAGGTCTTCGGTGTTTGGTGAAGTAGTAATAGTTCTTTAACAGGTACTTATGTAATTTGATAACAATACAGTGTCCTGAAACAAGATTGTTTTGAATTGTACAGTACAGTAACTAATGTTTTATGCGCCAAGAGCAATGTTCTGGAATTGTGCTCATTCGAAAATATTTTAACCTCCTTTCTAAGGAGAGGCCTATGTCCAGCAGTGGACAAATTGAGGCTGATGATGATGATGAAAATATTTTTGAAAATTGTAAGATGCGTCACATCCGTTCTACGATGTTTTGGGTATTTCTGCGCCCCCAGCCCCCAGGGTCTGCGCCCTGTGCCTAGGCAACACTGACACCCCACTTTTAATGATACTGGTTTTAGTCATGCCATTAGTATACAAGAACCGTACAGGTTTTGAAACGATCAAATCTTATACAGAGTTTTACAGATACGTTCGTTAGCGTTCATTAATTATTATTTTTTACTTTCTCTTAATGTAATTCTCTTAAATTTTTCAGAAAAGTATACCTGGATGACAACTTCTGGAAGGCAGACCTCGGACAAAAAGTGAAATATGGTACCGTGAATGAAGTCATGAATGGGTCGTTCAAATCACTGGCAATTGATTAAATATAAAAGAGAGTATACAAAAAGGGCTTAAATGTTTTTAAATTACATGTACATTGGTTTTGGTCTATTATATATTTATCATTTACAGTTGTTTGATTACAGTTCTTTGATTGTGCCTTAATAATAATAAGAGCCCATTTATTAATTTAGTAAGGATGATTTGATGATTTTTGTCCCCCCCGTTTTTTTTGCGGAACTCCCGGACGGACGGACGTAAATCAAATATTTTGATTTTGTAGCAGATAATTTAGGTTATACTTTGTCATTGCTATCAGATATAGACTATCTTTATATTATTAGATAACTAGTAGATATTATTAGATCTAGTCTTTGGAATATTATAATTAAAAGTAAGTTTTTAAATAATCTTAAAGTGAACAAACATCAATCAGTTAAACAATCTTTAAATGAATGACACTTTTAAAATAATGATCGACTAGTTTTAAATTACTCTTTAAGAAAATAAATTTTACAGTAAAAGCTAATACGCGGGAAGAATTTACTATAATATAATTATTATTTATGACATTTAAAATAGATGAAATTACGATTTACGATTTTAATAAACAATAAAAATTTGTAAAGTAGATGTAATTCGAAGTGAACGTTATGGAATGAAGAAAATCATTAAGAATCGGAAAAGGGGGAGGAGAGTAAAACCCTTTCTGGTTTTACTCTCCTCCCCCTTAAGATAAGTTCTTGTAGAGATTTTCTTAAACCTCCCTTCCCCTGGGGATCCTTACGTAATTAATGAATGGCTCCTAACCTTATAGATCACCATCACATTAGTTTCAATAATGAATGTGCAAATACATATTTCTGTTAAATCTACAGTTAATAGTTTCGTAATTAGGGATTCTGGGCCAAAAGCGTTTCTTTACAAAAGTAACACAACAGCCTACGGTAGCATGCTACTTCTGACTCGTATGCTACTAAGGAGGGCTTGACTTAAGTGTTAGCTCACTCTGGTGACTAGAAAGTGAAGGAACAATGAAGGATAGACTGAAATGAATAAATGCGGACAAGGGCCTAATCAAAATTTCCTTGATAAAATTATATCATCAAATCATAATCCTGGATGATGATGATCGTTACAAGTCTTCGAAACTCGGATTAAAGATTCTAGAGATTCTTTTCTTACTTGTAAAAATACTATTTTTCCAATTACAGGATAAGTTTTTTTTATGTTGTTGATTTGTGGTCTTATTCATTGCCTATTACGCACTAAGGAAAAACTTGTATTAATGCATGAATTCATTGACCAAGTCCAAATTAAGCAGAGCAAAGCTGTCTCAAAAACTAATTTTATGGAACTATTATAAAACTCCGAAACTAAAAATGATTAAGGAGTAGCTTGAAGCAGAAGAAGAAGAAGAAGTCGCTTTATGAGTTCCCTACATGACATTTCAAATTTATACCAAGAGATAAAAAAGAGGATCCTGATTTGGTTGAACGAGCTAATCTTAGGGACTATTGGTTTGAATTAAAAATTCTTTGTGTTGGATAGCCCACATTTCTTAAGGAAGGCTATAGGCCATATAACATCACGCTGCAACCAAAAGGAGCAAAGCATCAATGAAAAATGTTGCAATAACAGAAAAGTTATTCGTTTTCAGAGACGCGGTCAGCTAGTGGAAAACAATGTGCCTTAACATATTATACTGGCAAACAGAATCTGCTCTGGTATCGGCACTTATTTTAGTAGGTTCTTATTCATTTTTTTTACAAATCACTTCTAATACTATTATTCTAATATAATGACGTTTAAGCCGCATTTATAAAAATTATAAATACGGCGTATTTTTTGATAACGTTCACAAAATCGTAAGCTTAGAATAGTGTAAAAACAGCTATAGCTATATATAGAATTGACACAAAAATGAATAATCAGTACTACGATTTTCTATCTACCTTTATTATCTTTAAACAGGGCCCTTTTGATAGTACAAAAAAACAATATTACTGGTATTATAGTAAGGTCTTAGCTATACTTAATTTAACAAGCAGCGGCCAACGAGACACCAAGTGTGACAAGGGTAAATGTTTACTATATAGTATTAAATTGTATGTGGTGCGCTTAAAAAACATAGTTAAAGCTACGAGTATAGTTCTGTATAGTCTAATATAGTCTGTTCTGTCTGTAGTAATCTTTAAACCTCGAAAAACCTTTGAAGTAACACACTGTGTTTTCGGCTACGATTTGCAGTTAACTACTAATGATAGTGAACTGCTGATCACGCAAAGAAATAAGCTGGTCAAGGTAATAAATAACCCAATAGGTGCCTAGAGAATCATCTGTAAAATTCTATGTAAAATTGACTTAAATTGTCCACTTTATGTGGTAAACTGATGAAATTAGATATAAATCATATGTCAAGCTGTACTTAATATAACCACCGAGTATTAAGTCAAACAAGACTCCGATTCTATCGATCACTTTCACTGTGGATCTGAAATCATAATAAGGTTTTATTATGATTTTACAGTATTCAAACGGTATTTTTACCAATGTGTTATCACCAGCTATACCTTAAATCAGTATTACGAGTAAATCTACTTCACTAATTACCGCAATAGATTATTTGTTATTAGAGAAATGATTTCTACATGACTATACCGACGCAATATGAAATTAATGGTTGGCACAATGGTAATTTACTTTAGCGTCAATCGCATCTATTATGCTGACTTACAGCTCAACTTTGTGTAAATTCAATCTGGTCAGCTAATACTTACATATCCAAATATGTTGGACAGTAAGAAGGTAAGTAGTCAGAAGTGATTTAGCAGACGGATAAGTCGTCAGTTGTCGCTGAGGTACTAAGTGGAAATTAAACACGATTTTGCTATCAAGGTAAGATATTAAATTATTTTGTATTTTATATTTTTTCATTAAAAGTGAAACTAAATATTACGGATTTTATATCAAATGTCAAAATATGTTACAAATTGTTTATTACATAATGTTTATTAAGTGGGGTATTAAAATAAAGGGTTTAGAAAATTAATGCGGCGGCTTAATCCTGGCAAGCCGTTATTGCGGCAGTAAGACCCGTAATGGAGTATTGGCTCGAGAGGAAACACGGGATTCTCTGAACTGGCTGACGCTGACTCAGGTCCGTGGGGATATCAATTTATTTTCTTTTTTTGGGGAACCTGGTTACTGCCCGAAACGACGCAGCGTGCGGTTTTAAGGCCAGCGCTGCTGGTGTCTTGCTTTGGTAAAGCCTGAGCATGCCGCGACATGCCACTCAATATTCAACCAGATTTGTTCTGCGCTGATACAAATTTGGTTGTGTCGTTCTGAGTGGGATTTACTATTAGTAGCAGTTTTTGCTGAAGATCTACCGGAGTGATACCGCAGCCTTACAGAATTTTTTTATTTACTCTAGGTAAATATAATCGCACTGTTTACACGCGGGCGCACAAACAGCTAACGGCGGCCCTGTTTGTTACTGATATGTTTGTCAGTTGGCATATTTTAACTTAAACAAATAGATTATGTGTCGAATACAACGATTTCTTTTCTTTTCCTTTTTATTTCCAGATGTCTCAAGTAAGTGACCGGGATGTGGAAACCATTAAAAACTGGCTTGCAAAAGAGACACATTTACCGAAAAATTTCGGTAAGTGTAGCTTCTTCGAGGCCAATTTGACCTTACCCTCTAAAGTGACCCCGAAACTGGACTTCGCTCCATATGTCGATGTCTAGGATTCTGATGCTGGCTGAGTTAGGGAGGTGCTCTCAAACTGAGGTGATACGACAAATGGTATCTTTTTTGAACGCACAGACCTGTATCTTTTTTGGGTTAAACAAGACTAGATTTAGTCGGCCCCAATCTGAAACCTCCGCTAAGGCAATTTCAATTTCAGACACAAGTTTGTTTCGACTCTCGTTGACGTTTTCCCGAGAAATATTGGGGCGGCTGTATAAAGGGCATCTCCTGTGCTATCATTTGCATAGCAATGGATGCTACTAGTTTTGCAACATATCATTGATATGCAGAAGAAACAGTGTGGGTGATAGCGCACAGCCTTGTTATAAAGCTTTCTTGCTGAATCACCCGATCCATTGGTGAAAACCGTTTGAACGGTTATAACGGTCTAACAGTACTTTTGGAATTATGATGGTAAACTTAAACCTTTGTAAAATACTTAGGCATGTTAAATTACTATCGAAACATCACACATTTTGGTATGTAAACATTAAACAGAAGCGAAACGTCTTTTTTTGTAAAATTTATGAGTCAATGACTGCAAAATCATGAAGTGAAATACCATACCATACCATACCATGAGAAATAATATAATACCATTGTTAGAAGAGTTCTAAGTACAACACTACGTTTGCAATTTTACGTTTGTGTGTCAGTGTCAATATTAAGCTAGACGCTCACAACTACAATCTACAAGTAAAAGAAAAAGCAAGCCTGTATCGGACAAAATACTTTTAAACATTTTAAAAACTTTGTGAAATGAAAAGGTTATTGCTCTGCATTGTTTGCTGCTTTGCTCTAGGATTTTTTAGAACTCACCAAATTAGCTCAACAGTCACTACTTTTGGTTAACTGTTTTTCGGTTAACTTCAATTAGCATATTTGTTACATTGAGCATGAAAATATACATACTGCCTCACGAAAGTCGGTAACATTTTACCGTTTTCTTTTTTATTAATTCCGATACACTTTAATCTAGACACCTGTAATTGGGCGTTGGGCGTTCAGTTCCGCTCTTGTTTCGCGGACCGAAACGCCTAAAGGCATCTTTTAATTCAAAACTTCAAAAGTTTTGTTTTCTTTAATTTAAGAAAATATACACATTCTTAAGTAAAAGGGATTGATTTGTGTGTACCATTAAAAAATTTAATAATGTAAACAAGAGTATACTAAAAATCAAACGGATCTATAGGTGCTAGAAAACTTCAGCCGCTTCAAAGAAACCTTTAAAGAAAAAAAATCCTAACTTATACATTTAAAATATTAGTATAGATAACACACCGTAATTTCCTACTAATTGAAATTACCCACTTTTTCTCTTAAACATAATAGTAGTAAGTTGTTTTAATCTGAGAATCAAGAAAAAGTCATCCTAAAGTTAACATGGTTAACTTAGCAAGTAATTTACAGAACTGCCCAACTTTTCACTATTGCCCAATTTTGTTAAAAATTATAAAGCAACAATAACATTCGGGTAAATATTACAATATCATAACCAGAACGAGTACCTATAAGTTAGACTTGAAGTTATAGAACACAATGAACATAATTAAGTAGGTTTTTACCACTCATACTAATTAATGCCATAAATACGTCTATTCACATCAAACAAATATTTGTACTATGCGGTAACCGACCCGCGACCGTTGACGTATTTATTCCACTCGAATATTCTATTGTCGCATTAGGTATTTTTAATTATGTGTAAACAGAGTATCCAGTATATACAAGAAATAATTAAGGAGGTAAAAATTGTTTTATTAATATAACGTTCAGTGTGCAGTAGAAAAAAATTGTGATACATAAATTAAATGTATGCTATTTTACTCATATGTCTATTTCGGGTCTTCTCTAATAGAACTGAAGTCGGTCAGTGAATAGTCACTACAAGAAAAAAAAACAGCTTTAGGCATAATACCAGTTGTCTTCCTTATTTCCAGATGATGTAGCAATCAAGAAGTTTCTCTACAGTTGTCACAATAGCTTGGAGAGGACCAAGAAATGCATAGAAGAACAATGTATGCGACGAGCCAATATGCCTGAGATTTTCACCAACAGGGATCCACTATCTCAAAGACTTCAAAATGCACTTTCGATCACGTAAGTTGAATGAAATGAACTATAATATGTAGAATGACTAGTAAAGTAACACAAATAGGTAGTTACCGTTATTTTCTTTATGGTTAGGACATCGGAAAACTGTAACTATTTTGGAACATTCTTACCTAACAACCGATATGCACATGATCCAAACATTTATGGTTTAACATGTTCGCTAGATCTGTGACAACATATAAGGATGGTAAAGATGAGATCCTGTTCCACCTGCTGAAGGAAGTGCCGAGCAACTTTGATTTCTACGACTGCTTAAAGACTTTTACGTTGCAAGTCGACATCTGGATCAAACTCCCGTTTGATGTTCTACCTGAAAACCATATCGCGGTATATGACATAAAACAATATACCCTGAAGCTCGTGGCTAAAGCTAATATTTTCTACTTCCAAAAGTTTATTCTTTACTTATTGGTAAGTGGTTTAAAATCCAGCAACACAGTTCAGAATTTAAACTTAAATAGAATAGAATATAATAATATTTATTTCATAAATAATGTATTCAACGTAATTAATGTTTATAATTTAAGGTGTATTTTGTTAAATTACATACTTACATAAAGTACTTTTAAGATTTACTTGTAGGTCATAACTACTTCTGATCTATATATTTTTTTACCCTAGTAAGTAGATAGTAGAATTAAATAAATCTGGGTCCTATTGTTGACTGAAATGGTTCCCTTGTCAACAGCTTCGGCCTTGAGAGTTAATATCTCAATTTGTGTCCCAAGGACTATATTTTCTTACTCATTAAATGAGTATTTTATTTAAACAGATTGAAGTTACTTAATTTAGGAAGAGAACTCCTCGTACACTGTTTTTCCTTCAACTTCCCACGACGATTATGAATTATTTCACAAAAGAAATTGTATTCCAGGAAACCATGCCAGTTCGTTTGAAACAAATCCATGTCATAAACTGCCCATCGTTTTACGAGTACCTGTACAACCTAGTCAAACCTACGTTACCCGAAAATGTTTGCAATTTGGTAAATATAATTATCTGCATATTGATCTAATTTAATTGTTGAGTCCAAGTACGATTTCTAATTTGATTTGATTATAGCTGTTTTATTTTAATTTCATTAAAGACTTAAAGCTTTTAAGAGAAAGATGATTTAATAAACTATTTGGTTTTGATGTGTAACATCTGGCATCACGCTTTTGTGCAATTTTTTAGAAGTGATTACGTCAAAAGGGACGACAATGTGTAACATAGAAGCCGGAGAAGCGCGCGCGGAATTTGACTTTTTTGTCTGCTTTATATTGAATATTAGTTTAGTACGTTTTTTTTTTAAGTGCAAATTTATACAAATGTCGGGGGCTAACATAGTGACATGTGATAAAAAGGTACTTATATAAATATTGACTACTGTATTGATCGGATTTGGTTTTTTCCCTTTCTTTTCTCTGTAATGATTTAGTTTACAACATATTTATGTCGTTATTTATTGTCACCTTTGATTAATCTCGTATATTTGTTTCACAGATCCACTTTCACACAGATTATACAGGCCTACACAAGTTTATAAATAAAAAAAATCTGCCAAAGGAATATGGAGGTGATAGCGAGAGTATGGCACATCAGAACGAGAGTTGGATCAACCATATTAATGGAAATAGGTAATATATTAGTATTTTATTCACAGCAAACACATACACGCATTTGATAACTTCAAAGAATTCGCGAGAGTATTAAATACTGAAAACTGATATAATTGGACAAATTTGAAGATAGGTATTTGGCTTTACACAGTAAAGTTGGAAAACAAATTTTAATGTAATTTTCTTTGTAATTTCAATCGCGTATTTTCTAATGAAATGACGTCTTAGAAATGAGTTTACAATACTTTCTTTGCATACTAATCCAATAGAAGGTCTTATAAACAATTATAAAAAATATGAACATCATATTATATGTTCACATTTAGAATTATAAATACTTGTTTTAAAGAATTTAAAAATGTTATGCAGAAGCGTGTTACATCATAAATTATTAAAGTAATGAAATCTGTAAACGTGACAATGAATTCATTACACAATTTTATAAAGCATTAAAATTCCTAACAAGAAATTGGTATGTTGTGCATCATTACGTTCATATAAAGAATTTACTAAATATTTTAAAAATATTGTCATGGGTTTTTGTGAGTTTAGGAAAAAATCATCTGGGTTTCTTTGAGCCAGTTGGTTCGACATCTACTTTATCGCTGTTACTATTTGTTTTAGCCTCTGCCTTCATCCTTTTTTTAAGTAACCCTGGCGATTGAAAAGTATTTATCAAGTTTTATTCACCTTAAATTGCATTACTATTAGATAAGGGAGCCGTTTGAAAACAGTTCAGTGATTTTTAAATAACTTGAAACGCTCTAACAATTTCATTATGTGTTGAATCAAATTTTACGTTTTCCAGAAAAATGTTCCTGGACGACAGCTTTTGGAAGGCCGATCTTAGCCAGAAAGTATCGAACAGTGGCGTAGATACGTCTATGAATGGATCCTTCAAAACGCTTCAATTCGATTGAACGTCAGATCCAATAAAGAAAACACTGTTATTTGGTAAAGGATTTCATTAAGTATAAAGATTTAGGTAATTTAATACATAACCCAGATATAATTACAAGTAGACTTCATAGAAGGGAGGTATTAAAATATGATTTTATTGTTTGTAAACTTTTTATAAAATTAATTAAATTATTTATGTATATATGTAGTATATTTATGTATGCCGACATTAGGTACCAAAATATTTTTGTGTCATTTGGGTTTACTCGCTGAACTAGACGCTCCTTTTATCAGATCTTCATCCAATGACCTTTTAGTACCTTCAGTAGATCCTACATCCACTGCTAATTCTGTAAATAAATACTTCGTAAATATTGGAAAAAAGCTTGCATCAAAAATTATCTCACTGAACACCGCGTATGACAATACCCCTAAGATAAACGACAAAGGTAAGTTTTCTCCTCGATCCTCAATACCCTTTTTCCAGACCAACGACTCAGAAATCGATCACCTTATTTTAAGTCTCAAAAACACATCAGGTTGCGATGGCATCTCTATTGCAATTATTTAAAAAAACAGGTTTACACTTACCCCATCTATTGTACATGTGTTCAATCTCTGCCTTGCATCTGATTCCCGACCTTCCCGGATGTGTTTAAGATAGGTCTTGAACATCCCGTGCATAAAAGTGGTGACAGAGGCAGTCTTAATAACTATAGGCCCATTTTAGTCCTTACCGCACTATCAAATATTATGGAGAAGTTATTAAACACTAGATTAAAGATCAATATTGGTTACTCTCCCCTTTTTTTTCCGTGCGGAAATCCCCTCGGATACCACCTATCGGTGGCATGTCGGACTCGAACCGACTAAAACCGCACGCCGTCTCGGGTACTAATAGCCGGGGAACCAGGTATACCCTAGAAAGGAAGTCCCTGGTGCTGGTTACTCTCCCCTATATGCGAACGTGAGTACATTCAATTCACGAATCTACTCACGGTAAGAAAAATGTGAAGAATAAAAGACAAAGTATGTGATGTGCAATTCTGTAGGTTGGAGTTGTCGAAAAGGTGATAAAATGTTGCATATCTTTGTTTTTATATTTACCTTTTATCACCAGCTCATGCAGACGCAAATACTAGAATAGCTTTAGAAAATATATGAAACTCATTGTACGTGCCTATAAAATTTGAGGATTAACCTTCCACTTATCAGATCCTGTTTTCGTCACAATGAGACTACCTCAGGACTATGCACTTTGTTATAAAGAAAGAATTTTGGCAATCGGTCCACAATTGAAGGAGTAATCGGTGAACATACATAAGAAAATACCTACAGTGGAAAATAGTCTCCTTCTTTTCGAAGTCGGTTAAAAAACTCCGCAATGGTTACAATGGTTACCCACAGTAACCATTATTATTTTTTATAGTCCCGGTAGGCAGCGGCAGGCAGGATCGGAGCGGGCCTATAAATATTGCATATATAAGGAAGTCCAGTGGTATAGTCCTATAATAATAATAGTATAATTAATTACTCCACACTGACACCACATTAGTAGCATTTACATTGCACCCGTGCGAAGCCTAGGCGGATCGCTAGTAATTATAAGGATCCGTTTCTGCCAGCTGTTGCCACCCAGGAAGGACGTACGGCCGGACCCGGGAACGCGGCGACGGCCACTTGCCCCTCTAATATCCTCTAAAATATTCATTTTAATAATATGCTGTAAAGAGCAATTTTACTCTTCATTAAATGCACAACGTATCTAACGTATTTAATTGGATAAGGAATAATGTATTCTTTAAAAAAGCTTCGTTAAACAAGCAATGTAAGCGCACAAAACATGTTTTTTATTACAAATCTTGAAATTCACGGATTTTCTATAGGGGGAAGTTCCCTCGGGCACGCCGTCATCGCGGCGGTAAGACCCGTTATGGAGGATTGGCTCGAGAGGCGTCACGGGACCCTCTCATACCGACTGACGCAGGTGATCACTGGGAAAGAATGTTTCGGGGATCACCTGTGTCTGATCCGCAAGGAGCCAACGCCTGAGTGCCACCACTGCGATGGCCAGACCGTGGACACGGCTCTCCAGCAGCAGCAGGCCGGGGTGGCGGTGAGTGCGTTGCGAAGCACGCTCGCTTCCAGGGAGCACAGGGAACATGGAGTTCCCAAACGGGGGGGGGGGTCGTCTACTCGTCTGTAGATGACCCGAGGTATGTCGGGGCACCAGGGACTTCCTTTCTAGGGTACACCTGGTTCCCCGGCTATTAGTACCCGAGACGGCGTGCGGTTTTAGTCGGTTCGAGTCCGACATGCCACCGACAGGTGATATCCAAGGAGATTTCCGCACGGAAAAAAAAAAGGAGGAAAGTTCCCTAAGTCCGGACGGCTCCTAAAGCCGGACAGACTTTAAATCAGTGCGAAGAAGAGCGCCAATTTGTTGCTTGTGCCGCGGTTAGGAAGCTTCTCCCATGTGAAGTGCGGGAGGGAAGTGCTAATAGACAGTGCTGACTCGTTCGTCGTGGAGCGTGGTGCAAATTTTGAGGTTAGTACCTACTATTATAAATATAAACCTTCCTCTTGAATTACTCTCTCTATTGGGCAAAGCCGCAATAAAATCCGTTGCTTAGTTGAAAAGATCTAAGCAAGTGCGTGCGTACTATAGCAATACAGTGTCGGCGAAAAGTTTAAAATGTAAAAGCGGTCAATTAGTGATGTGTATCTGTGTGGTAAAGTTTTTGTAAAGCTGGATAGTACCTATAGGGAGTCATATAGTCGTTTATTCAACCCGGTCAATGCCGTCAATTTCATCACACGGCTTTTATTTCTATTGATTCATTGTCATAGTGGCACTTAAGAACGGCGATTTAAGAGGAAACAGGAGACCCTCTTATACCGGCTGACGCAGGTGATCACCGGATAAGGATGTTTTGGAGATCGCCTGAGCCAACACCTGAATGACCACTGCAATACAGACCGTAGACACAGCGCCCGGCATGCGGCGGTCGAATGATGGCCATCGGAGTGAGGATTTCATCGTTCGGTTCGCGAGTTACGCTTGCTAATAAGTTATCTTGGTATGGACATGCGGAGGGATAAGGAAAATGTGTCGAAAAAGTGTTAGGCATAGGAGTTGAAGATACAAGAGAAGAGAAAGACCAAAGAAATGGTGGATGGACTGTGTAAGTGAGGATATGGCTAGGAATGGAGTGAACAGTGAGATGACGAATGATAGAGTAGAATGGAAGAATCATACTTACTGCGCCAACCCCAAATAAAATTGGGTAAAGGGTAGGCAGATGATGACCTATTTATACGTAATCATAGATACGTAATCTTTTTATAACAACCTCTGGTCTCTGGCACTACATACAGTTAAGAGTTTAAGATATTTAAAAAAAAAAGATAAAAAAAGATAAAAAAGAGATTGCCATAGAAAACATTATTATGTATTTAAAAATAATATGTATATAACAAGATATTTTAAAAGACTAATTCCGAGGGTCACATTCTCAATCTTCTGCACATTTGACTTACTTTTTGTCCCCGGGAGTGATTCTGCATTAGAATTAATAGACTTTAATAGATACTGCGTCTATTAAACTCCAGTGTAGAGTAAGCCGGAAGGCTTTCGTTCTCGTAGTATGACTGCGTATTATATCAATTTCAAGATACTAATCGATCGTACGCTCGCATGCACGATTAAGCATTACGCTTTCCTCCACACATACATTAGCATGAAAAAAATATGTTTTCATAAAAAAATACTAGCAACAGAACAAACGAACAATTTTTTTTATCCCTCATGTCCAATCGACAGCTAAAACTTTATTCTTTTACAAATAAAAATACATTGCTATACATTATTACATAAATAACAACGAACACTTATAGAATAAGTTAGAATAATATATACAACGTGTCCCAAAATTCAACGATAAGCCGGTACCGGTGTATGGTCAAGTCAATAACTACCCATGAAAAAATAATAATAGAAAACCAGCTCTTTTTTTTTCAAAGTTACATTAACTTTTTTGAAAAATGTTGTAATTTGATACCCTACACCCTATGATTAGATACTGTGGTTACAAATGTGTACATATCCCCACATTTTTTTTGTATTAGCTACCTATGTAATATAACTATTAATTGCAGTTCCAAATAGGACCAAAACATTTGTAGTTTTAATTATAAAAATAAAATAAACAATCTTTTTTCTTGAAATTTTTGAATATTTAAACTTTTAATCAACTTTGACATGCTACTGTGTAAAAAAAATGTATGAAATGTACTATGGCATGTTATTACAAAAGTTAGCGCAACTCATCACAATTCTAAAATGGTGCAATACTATGACAACACTTGCAAAAATTCTAAGAATTCTCTTATCAACACACAAAAAGGATTATTTAGCTTAGTTTTTAAAAACATGTAGATTTCGTACTACGTTCGTACTTTCGTAACGTTCGACGTGATTGAAGTGATATTAAAAGGAAAATTTTAGTGACCGGACATTTGTGAATACGTTTGTTTGATTATTTGATATTATACCATGCCACACACTTATACAGCGTTGGAATACGCGAATATGCATTCAATTTACGGAGAGTGCAGATGCAATGCAAACGCTGCAAGCAGAGTATATCGTGAAAGATATCGAAATCTTCAACGATATCCGGATTATCGAGTGTTTATTTATGTGCATCAAGCATTTTGTGAAGGTCATTTACCAAGCAACCGAAGAAATGCAGGCAGACCTAGGTCAAATCGCGAAGAAGAAGTACTGGAAGAGATTGAAAATGACCCTAATACTTCAGTCCGTGCCATAGAGGAATCTACGGGAATCCCAAATAGTACCACCCAGCGTTTTCTGAAACGTGAAAGATTTCATGCGTGTGGTACGCATAAAATCTTTGTGAAATGAAATTTTGAATGGCGAAACTTATTTAAATTTTCTGCAAAATACTTTGCCGAATCTCCTAGAGGATGCACCTTTAAACGTACTAAGAGATATGTGGTACCAAAACGATGGTTGCCCAGCTCACTACGCACGTCCAGTGAGAAATTATTTGGACCTAGAATATGCAGATCGATGGATTGGTCGTCTAGGTCCTATTGCATGGCCGCCCCGTTCTCCGGATTTAAATCCACCGGATTTTTTTTTACTGGGGTTGCCTAAAAGACAAAGTCTATGCCAAACCAATTGCAACAATTGACGAACTGCGTCAAAGAATCTTGGAGGCTGCAGAAGATATGAACAGACGGTGATATGCTAGACTCATTAAAAGATCATTTTTAAGGCGTTGTCACGCGTGTGTTGACGTACTCGTAGATGGTCAACAATTTGAACATTTAATTTAAGTACGCAATAAATATCTTGATTTCTCATTATGACTTTCATTGAAACAGTCTCAAAATCCTTTTTTGAACAGTAGGTAATGTTTTCAACAACTAAACTGAAAAACCTCTTTGTGTCTTGATCAGAGAATTCTTAGAATTTTTACAAGTGTTGTCATAGTATTGCACCATTTTAGAATTGTGATGAGTTGCGCTAACTTTTGTAATAACATGCCATAGTACATTTCATACATTTTTTTTTACACAGTAGCATGTCAAAGTTGATTAAAAGTTTAAATATTCAAAAATTTCAAGAAAAAAGATTGTTTATTTTATTTTTATATTAATAAGTACGAATGTATAGGTCCTATTTGGCACTGCAATTTATAGTTATGTTACTTAGGTAGCTAATACAAAAAAAAATGTGGGGATATGTTCACATTTGTAACCACAGTATCTAATCATAGGGTGTAGGGTATCAAATTACAACGTTTTTCAAAAAAGTTAATGTAACTTTGAAAAAAAAGGAGTTGGATTTTTTTTATTATTTTTCCATGGGTAGTTATTGACCCGACCATACACCGGTACCGGCTTATCGTTGAATTTTGGGACACGTTGTATATACTCGTATCTACAAATAACCAACTAGGAAAAAATCTTACTATCTTTTCCATTAAGTTTAACTTAATTGAAAGTTTATAACACAGGACATGATATGAACATTTTCAATTATTTTTTATATCGATAAACGATTTCACTCGGTAAAAAGACCAAGCACTGCGCACTCAGTTTCGATGAAATCATTATTCTCAATTATCTATCATTGCAAGACAGGGAAAATGTAATTTGAATGTTGTTATTTGTATTTTGTGGTCTTATGCATCTATTTTTATAAAATGTGTTTGAAATTAGAATTTACAGACATATTAAAGTTTGATATACACTTTATATACACCACTACACCATACCATAGCGAGAAAAACTAAATATCAATATGTCTAATCTAAAGCTAGAGATCGGAATGAGCCAGGAAGCGCCCGAGCTTTGTCCACACGGGGGTCAACGTTGCCTGTTGGTCGCAAAGACTCTTCTACAGCCCACCTCTTGTCGTTAGTCAGGAACCAATCTCTGAAATAATGTTCGATCTTTTAAAATTCGGTATCTATGAACAATAACATAACTAGTATGTTAAACTGTTTTATGATATACTACGCAAACGAGCAAACGGGTCAATTATTAAACTTCAATTACTTAAACTGTATCAATGAGTTCAAAGCGCCTTACCTTATGATGAATTGTAATAAACTGTAATGTTAACTCCTTAGTTTTTCCTTAGGGGTAATCTTTTTTGTTCAAGTTTGAATTAGACCAAAGAGCGCCGGTAGTCACTTACCATCAGGTACCTGTCTGCTCGTTTACTTTTTATACAATAAAAATAATTACAGACTAATAACTAAGGCTTTTTGTTTAGTTAATTTTAATTACCTCTTCGCTTCCATCTTCTTAATCCAGTTACGTTTGATGCTCTCCACGGAGCCTGCTTTGCCACCATATTCCGTTGGAAGTACGTCTTGTGAAATGTCCGCGTACAAGGTATCTGAGTTAGGCTCGTGGAACTTTATCTGTATATAAAGATTAAATTTGATGTATTCATGTAAATAAAACTTGTAGGTATTAACTTAGCTTTGACAATTGTGACCGAAATTTCTTATGGCCCGTCGAATAGATTAGACGCCGCGCCCACTTGATGAAAAAGGATAATTTACGAATATTACTAGCAAATGCGTACTGCTTTTATCCTTCTCGTGGTTCCAAACCCAGAACTCTATAAAATGAACCTTTGCAAAAACAACAACCAAAAAATAAACTAGTTACAGCCATCAATGAGTTCTTAGAATTTTGTTTCCAGTTTCTACAGGTATGATATATGTTTCTAGTACCAGTTTTGAGTATCTATACCAACTGGAATATACGACCGTCGGCGTTGCCAAGGTCAGTTAATTGTGCAATGTAGGTACTCTAAGATGTTCTAATTCACAACATTTTATTCTATCTATTGTGTTCTTAAAATACATTATCTTTTATTCTGCACATACAGATTTCTTTTTATGTTACCTATTAATATCTCAACAATAATCCCACGAATTATCACCCTAATTAGGACTAACAGTAAAGTTATATTTTGAGATAATACTGACTAAAACTACACGGTGTAGTTACAAACAATTAAACCAATTAGAAATATGTTTTTTAATCCAAATTTACACGGAGCTTTGTTGTCGTCAGCCATTTACTAAATTCTAGCTGTATCGTAACACGCTTCGTTGTGGTACACTGCGGTTGCATTGATGAGAAATGAGAACAAACTGTCTCGAAAATATATAAAAACAATCGTTGAAAGAGGTTGTATGTCGTGTCAAAATTTAAGCTCTATCGATGTAGAACTTTTCGAGTTTTTGAAGCGTACATAAACCAACTTAACATTTTTATTTAAATAGATTAACCTCTGGTCAACCACAAGTCTAAATGAATATTACACTTACCAATTTAGCAACTTCAGTTTTGAGAAACGGCTTGCACAGGGCGTAGATTTTGCCGATGTATGAAGGAACATTGATGACATGCACCTGTTTTAGCCGGATCGGCATTGCTTCCTGAAAGTTATACAACAAATGAAATAATAATATTAAGCTAACTATTCTGCTTTACATCTCGATTGTGAGGTAAGTAGAAAAAAACCGGCATTACAAGAATAAAACATTTTATTTGTTGAAATTTATAGTGAAATGAGAACAATTTTCAAATTTTAAGGACAGGTGTTTTTTGGGATCTTCATCACTTGAAGAACTCATGTTTTTTCTTAATTAGTGCTAATTAATTATAAAATAATCCCAAAAACAAACAATTTTTAAAGTAAAAGTTTTCTATTCCCGCCTTTTTTCATTAAAAAGAATCAAGTAAAGAACTTTTTAAGTTTTTTTTTTCAAGATCGAAATTGAGCTTCGCCGTTCGATATTTAAAATTGATGACGATAATACTCACACGAATACAAGGCTGAATAGCAAAGCGACCTCTTTGGTCATTGGGCTGAATGCATGATGTCTATTGCCAGTATGATGGTTAGATGTACGCGAACTTTTTGAAAGAAAGAAGTGTTTTTTTTTAATAACTTACCGCCCTAGGGCTTTTCTAGCTAAATTATTACCCTAGAGCGCTAATCAGTCACTTAAGCCCTATTTGGAAGTAATAAGAACCTACTTACCGAAAATGAGAGATGTAAAAAAAAGTTATGCTGATAATTATATTGTAAATATTTTCATTATCCTTATTTTTTTCCTGGAACATACACTAACTAATGTTGAACTTGTTTTTGCTATCATCAAAGGTGTGAAATACTTTAAATTATAATACTGGAAGTAGTAGATACTTTTACGCGAGCAATTTTACTTCTGAATTTTTATTTTTATACTCGAAGGTAAATTTATTTAATAAACAACATCTTTTTACACATCAATTATGTATAACGTCTGAGTTATTATAATTATCTTTTATTTGTACACAATTTTTAATAAATAAAGCCGATATAATTATTACTTACTAGCTGTATCCTGCCACGCTTTTCTGTTGCCACAAAAATGGTTTTTATATCTTTTTCTTTTACCAGTTTTGATGCGCGTTTTACATAGTGTCAAATTTAGAGCTTAATCGGTGAAGTACTTTTTGAGTTTTTTAAGCGTAAACAAACTAACTTACCCTAAATCTATACTCTCTAATACGCGCTCTACTAATATACGATGAGCACTCACCATCACCACGATGGAAGGCCATCAAAAGTATTCCATATGTGACGTTAGTAATAGTTTACAGTAAAAGGTTTTTTAGACAAATAAAATTACATCACGCTGCCACCACACCAGATGTTTTTATTGTGTTGAGGAGACAACTTGAGCACTAGGAGTATATGTATCCTGTGGCGCGAAGGACTTTACACACATAAATAAAACGGATACAAAAAACGACCAGAGTCATGAGTAACAATTTGCGAATCACACAAAGTGATGTACCATGTGGGGATCGAACCCACAACACTCAGCGCAGTAGGAAGCGGCGAGGTGAAAGCCTAAACCACTATGCCATCCATGCGTGCAAATAGACGATATTAGAAACGCTCCGGATAAGGAAACAAAAAATATCAAAGTCTTAATAGACAGGGATTTTAATATTTTTAGTTTATTAGATAGATTTTATGTGGTTTTTGTGTTGCTTAGAACCTTACCCAGAAGTAAAAAGAATGACGAATCTCCGACCTAAATGCAATTACTGTAAGTATCTCACACAGACGAGATAAATTTAGAAGTGATTTATATATAAATTAGTGGTATGTCGATAGTACACTATTGCAGTGTATTTAACGAGTTTAGTGTTGTTTGAACATTTTGTTTAGACAGTACATATGTTAAATGGTGTGTGCACAATAAAATCGTCATACATAAGGCTGCCTGCACATTGGAACAATATGATTTATTAGCCGAAATAAACAAAATGAATATTAAACTTACAAGCGACCAATTTAATGTTTGTTAAAGGCTGGAATATTTGTTAAATATAATAAAAAGAATTATAAAACCTATACCATTGTAAACAGACTGCTGATAAACATACTTATAAATGTCTATGTATATGTATTTATTAAATACGTATTAATTATGTATATGTATTTATGACGACTGGATGGTGTAGTGATTTGTGTAACGGACTGCTATTCCAAAGGTCGCGGGTTCGATTCCCGCTCAGGTCAAACATTTTGTGTGCATGAACATTTGATGTTTGATTTGGTCTGGGTGTTTCTATGTATAATATGTATGTATTTACAAAAAAAAAAGTATATATGTATTTATATCAGTTGTCTAGTACCCATAGTACAAGCTCTGCTTAGTTTGGGACTAGATGGCGTTGTGTGTATGTGGTAGAATATATTATTAGATTATTATTATTATCATACATGTCATAGATAAATTACACCCAGACCCAGTGTCACCACCCCTATTCTTCCCGTGAGTGTAGTAAGAGCCGACTAATGGAACAAACTACGCAGGATCAAACGCACTGCATAGAGAAGGAAAACATGACACAAACCCTATACCAACCCAAAATCTCCCTTCTAAGAAGAAACCTATGTCCAGCACTTGACTATTAAAGGTTGTTGATAATGAGGATGAAAACAAATACTTACTTGTGTGTACATCATGTATTTCCTGAGAGCAGAGAGGTTCACTTTCGGAATAAATTTAAGGGACACATTCGCAGCATCGAAGACTGGTATCTCTCCCGAAGGTATTTCGCAATCCTCTGTCAATCTAGTGTCTGCCAACATGAAGAATGTCTTGATGGCGTCCACGAAGTTGAACGCATCCAAGTTGGGATTACTCAAACGGTAAATGAAGACACGGTAGTTTTCCTTAGTTGTGTTAGGGAGAGGTAACATGTCACTGTAATATGCAAAATTTCGCATGTTAATATTTCATGATTATAAACTTCTAGATATCCTTACTAATAATCTAAATGCAACAGTAACTCTGTCTGTCTGTCTGTTACGCTTTTACGGCTAAACCGCTGAACCGATTTTAATGAAATTTGGCTTAAAAAATACTTTGATTCTTGAGAAAGGACATGGGCTACTTTTTATCTCGATTAACAATTTACATGACGGCGGAGCCTCCTACAAAGTTAGTATGATAATTAAACAATAAATAAACGTCCCTTTTCTCATCTACCTAAATAATAAAAATTCTAGGAAATCTGTGGTGATAACATAGTCTTAGGTAAACAGTTTTTGTCATATTGAATTGAGATCTTGATAAATTTTATGTAAATATTTCATTCAAAAAAGTAAATTTATCAAGTCAATATTTTTGCGGCCGATCCATTAAGTAGACGATAAAGTTTATCCGGGATCAAATATTGAATTACATATTTGACGCCGACATACATATACATAGGTACACGTACCTACATATTATAAATACATATTACAGAACCTCTTAAACAAACCCTAAGTGGGTTTGTTTAATAGGTTTTGTATGTACATACAGCTAATAAGCTGTGTTCGGGCGCTTATTTCGTAAGTTTTAAATATATTGCAAACCTCGAAACTGATATTGAATCTACATGACTTACAGCAAGGTGCAAAGTGCCACCTTTGACAGAAATATAAAAGTCTTTCAGCAGCACTGTGTATTATCTATTACTATTATTATATATTAGTATAGTATAGTATATACACTATATATTATATATTAATATAGTATAGTATATATTCAATAAAATGTGAATTTGAGTTTTTTATGTTTGTTCAATCGTTACACTTTTATGCCTAAAATACTTAAAAGCCTATCTTAAAAGTTTACATTTGAATCTTCAATTCAATTTCAAATAGTATTTAAAAGGTAGATGAAATATTCACCTTCTGCAATTGCTTTTGACAATATATTGAAATAGAATTAAGAATACAGGTTTTAGCTACTGTTGTGTACGTTATTTCAGTAACTTTAGTTAACTTTTTACACATAAATCGCATGCAGCCGGATATAGGTATATAACAAAGTATGTTTTTGTCATTTACGTGTTAATTAACATTCCACTTACAGTAGCTATGTAGTGCGCTAGTTATTTTAAAAAAATGGGTTCGCTATGATATGTAAAAGCAATCCAAATAAACTTTTCGGTTTTCTGTGGCCGTGTCTTTTAATCTAAAGAAAAAGATTTTTGTAGATTACCTAAAAGACTTTAATCGTAACTATGAAGTTAACAATATCAATATAGAAGCGACCAGAGCTTTAAACAGAATCGCTACGGAAGCAGCAACGGTAATGGAATTTACCGAAACGCAAAACAGATCTGTGGTTACAGTCTGTGGTCTCTGTTGGAGGGCGCGCTGAAGATAATGTCCTCTAAAAAAGTACCGTTAAAGTAAAAATAAAGCAAAAAGGTACATTTGAAAGCTGTAAAATAAGTCGTAATGCCAGCAACGGAAGAAACCAAAGAAAGAGATTTTATGTGCTGTGGAAGAATCGATGGGACTTTGGAACGGTAAAGAACAGAACCTGTGTAAAAAATCTATCAGACTGCTTAGTACAACTCGGTGCGCGAAGTAGACTTTACTCTTATAGGTCGGGGCCATGGCTACGTACTTGGTTTGAGGCGAGAGAAAATAATTTTTAAATCGTACTTGTTGAACCTGGGATTATCTTTATTACTCTAACATATTCTTCGTTTATTTGCTAATATTTTAATGCAAATTTACAAATTTATGGTCAAACAATTCTATCCGCTAATTATGTAGATATGGTAAAAGGAATATTGAGTTAAGGAGACTCTATTCAATATTCCTTTTTAACTTATCTCTGCATTTGAAATAAAGTTATAAACAAAACAAAAGAATCATGCTATCAAAGAAATAAAATCAACCTTTAGCATAACAATGCATAAGCTTCGTGACAGAATACTGATAAATATATTAACAATAGCAGTATGTTATCAAATCAGTTTGATTGTTTACTCACGTTATCTCGAAGACTCGTCTTATCTCCGGCGAGCAGGGGTCACGATTGCAGAATAGTTCGGGTCCATTGGCACGAATAGTAAAGAACAAGTCGATGGTTCTCTTCGCTCGTTCAATACTGTGGCCGGAACTTGTCAGGAATCGACGAAGAAGGATGTCCTCTGGTAAACAGAAATAACATTGATAAATAACACAAGTGGACTGAGAAGATAACAGAGCGTACTGATTGAAAAAATTGACTGCACGGATGGCGTAGTCGTTTAAGTGGTCGCCACGCCACTTCCTACTACACCGAGTGTTGTGGGTTCAAACCCCACATGGGACAATACTTTGTGTGATCCACAAATTGTTGTTCTGAGTCTGGGTGTTCTTTGTGTCCGTTTCATGTATGTTTGGGAAGTCCCCCGCGACACAGGAATATAATATAATGCGGGCGTTGTCTTTCACACTTATATTTTAATTTTCTTATATTCGTAATATAGGCCTTGCACCATTTACCCTATTAATACAAACAATATGATTTCATTTGTTTATTTAAATTTAGAATAAATTGGAAAAAATAATAACCGACGTCATTTATCAATAGGAATATTATAATCGATTTAATACAGTAAAGAGTTAATTTTACAAAAAAATACGGCATACTTAAATCAATTATTTTACCTATTTTTAAATAGTTAGACATTATAAATCAGAAATGATAATGATATTAATGAGGATTGATCTAAGGAATAAAAACAAAAACATTTTTTTTAAACCACATTAACTAAGCTTCCTTTACTTCTTACTCACTATAATTACAAAGATTTCACGATACATTATCTTGATGATAGCTATGATACGTTCTTGAGGTTGTGCTACGGTTTATGCTTTCTCTAATATAAGTAGTACATACTAATAAAGCAGCGGTACCTACAAATAATAGTACCGTTGGATGAAATAGTAGCAGTTATAAAAAAAAATGTGGTTACTTAAGTCGCTATAGCTTAAGACTACGTCCACATATCGGGAGTTGTACGCGCGCATATTTCTGTATAGCGTTTAATATGGCGAGCCCTTCTCGGCCGTCAATACTATCGCAGTACAGTAAGAGTTCTGTATTCGTTGAAAATGGGTATAAATACCGAAAAATAAAGCTTTATCAATTCATATTTAGATTAACTATTATCACAAAAAATAACCGAATGAATAGCTACCTATTTATTGTTTAAATGATATTGCGCAGTTGACTGTCCTATTGGCCTAGTGGTTAGTGATGCTGACCGGTAAGCTAGAGGTCGATTTCCACCCATTACAAATAATTGTGTGATGAGCACAATCATTTGTTATGTGTCTATGTGTCATTTGTCTAAAAAATATTTTAATTTAAAAATATTTATATCAGCAGTTTGGTTATCATGGTACTCTGCCTTGTTTGGGATCAGACGGCCGTGTGTGGAGTGTGAAGTTATATGTGATGTAGATATTATTCTGTGCTGTGATATTAAATTAAAGAGTTTCAGTTTTCAAACAAATATGTTTTATAGCATGTACCTTTGTTTATATTTTATTTAATAAAATATTTTGTACAAGCTTGCATAAGTAAACATGAAAATGAGTTTTACTGTATTCTAAATGTGTTAGAGGGACTTTCGAAGTATTGTATGTGTGTTTTATTGTTAAATTTTACAACCTTACACAACCTTTTCTCATAAATATTACCTAATATCCTACGTAAAATACTACACGGTATCGCAAGAGATGGTTATTAGAATGTTGTTATTTCGATTTAATTTTTCACTGATGTACCGTGACGAAGGTGAACGTTATGCACTTCGAAACCTTTGGATAAAGATGAGGTTCATCTGATCTATTCATGATGGTTTCGTTCATATGATGACCGATTAGGGTTACACTGTTTACCAATTATTCCCCATTTTAACGTTAGACTAAAAACGAATGGAAAAAAAATGTACTTATCGATTTTAAATAATATTTTTTCGGTGTTCGTGTCAGAAATTAATTACCATTTGCCTCAAATGCGAAAAAAAAATTCTGAGAAAACCCGCTCTGAGAAATTTTCCTCGTCCATAATTGGACGAGGACAATGTCCTCGTCCAATTATGGACGAGGAAAATTTCATTACTTATAAAAAGGAATGAAAGGGAAAATCTTCTAACAAGGCTGATGTCAATAAATATTTAATAACCCTATTAAGAAATAGTGAAATAAAGTAACATTAAATTTGTGTTCATGATCCATGACTTATAGTATACAACCTTTACGCAATTTAACTTGTACAATACCGTTACTACCATAGTATGTAACTGCTATTACGATCAACACAGATTATAGGGTCGTGGGGCTTTCGGGGCTTACATCTGAGGCCCTGGAAATAATGACTTCGTGACCGCACATTTTATACATCTTGAAATTAAATGAGGCTTGTGTCACGCATGCGTTACCATTCTTATTCAGCAGCCTCGTTGCAGACATCACTGCGTAATGGTAACAGTGATAGTTAGATTCTATTTAAGCATTCTCACAGTGATAAGCTTTTCACTGGATAGAGGATAGCGATATTTTTTACAGTTTTTGCATTAAACGTCTTAGCCTTTGATAAGCCACTACTGTAGGAAGACGAGGGCCTTTATTTCAAATACGTAATAATAAAAGAATTATTGCCAACACGGAAAGTGCAGCAGCGATGAATCCTAATAAAATATCAAAATGCAAATGAATATCTTTCAGTATATTTAAAATTTGGAAATGAATGATTTAAATGTATGCATATATGTATATATGGGTTGTCTCTCTTTGGTGGTTGGCATTGAAAAGGATGACAGATTGTTTTATTTTATTTGACATTGATTGTTTAATGAAAAATAAATTTAAATAATTAAACATTAATGTGTATAATTAAAGTCGTTCGTTTAGGAATGCGTCAGTTAAAAGTTATTAACAAACTATCGGTTTCTTGACAAACAGATAAGTCCGAGAGGCAGCGCACAGTATTGCGACCGACACGGTTAAGACGGTCGCAATGAATTACAGAACTCACCTAGAATGAATCGGGTCAATACCTTTCGGCGGTTTATTTATTGAAACTTTCTGCAAAACATTGCAAAAGGCGGATTTAATGCCAAAGGTATTTTCTGCCAGCCAAAACTTTGGGTGTTGCAAAGCTGTGTGCGGCAGGTGTATATTTGAAACAAGTAAGACATGAAGCAGAACTGGGGTCGTAGGCAAACAGTGGAATACGGGGAGGGTTTTTAGTCGTTAAGAGTCCGATAGAACTCATGAAATGCCACTCTTGTGATACCACCGCCTCACAGAAAACCCTTGTTAAGCTATTTCTTTCGTTGTTTTTCACCCTGTAAGAGAGGTTACCAGAGCCCAAACCCCCGCTCAACTGACTTCAGGGGAAGTGACTCAAAGGACGGCAGCGCAATGAGGGCCAAGTGCGAGTTTATTTAACATCAACTCGCTTTCAATAGTGAGCGCGTTCGGCGCTACGATTGGCCCGCACTGAAATCCGCACCAATCGCAATGCTAAACGCGCTCGCCGTCGAGGGTGAGTCGATGTGAAATAAACTTGCACTCAGCCCTCTGATGACTCTTGAGTTGCATAGGCGGCGATAGTTACTCACCTACATACAAGTGATCCGTATGCTCGGTTGCCTCCTTCTACATAAAAAAACAGTGGCACTCCGGGAGAGCCGACAGAAGTGAAAACTTGGTAATTTTTTTTTTTTGATTTTATATTTATATTATATTTTATTTTTTCGATTTATTAGTTATTTTTTATTTTTTTCGATTCGAAAAGTTCCGACATGAATATATCTATGTTGTACGTACAAATACAATATATGTTCATATTATATATAGTTATATTACCAACGTATTTCAACCCAAACTCAACTCTCGTGCAAACGGGGCCAATATATGTAGATACTTATATAATTATTTACAGAAGTGTTGGTAACGGTAACAGTGTCCCGAGTTAAACGATTTTTTCCCCATCTCAAAAAATACATTCTTTTGTTTGTTGTTCGAAAATGCCTAACGCGCCTAAAGAAGTTTTTACTTAAATAAAGGAATATCCTTGCTTTCGCCAAAAAGGAACTAATACATCTACACATATATTTTTATATTATTATTAAATAATATTATAATTATAATAATATATAACTTATATATAAACATGTACTACACACATAAATAGGGTAGATATTGAATAGATATGTATTTAATTTAAATATGTGGGTCTAGTGTACCATAGAGCCGGCTTTGAGTTGTGAAAAGAGTACGAGTTATTATGACAGAACCAAGAGCTTTTTAGTCAGAAAAAGCATACATTGAGATTTCTTTTCTCTCTCTTCCCTCTCTCTTCACCATCATTTATCATTGCTCTTCTTTTAAAAACATGTATTAAGCATTAGTTTGTAGTAGTAATCTAGAAGTTATAGGAAACGCACAGATAAAACGCGTGTTCAATATTGTATGAAGTCTCTTACAACACCAAGCACGCGAGGACACTTCAACAACCTTCACAAAGTTGAGCGCAAACGCGTCTCGACTACCAAACAGATACAAAACTGACGTCATAGCTCCACAGAGAGCAACAAAACATAAGCCAATGTTGTAATCATATTGCTCCACAGTCTGGGTTCATAAAATAATTTGACAGGCATTCTTCAAAAGTTCAACGACTCTATTCGTGTATTGAATTCATAACGGTTTTTACTTTCCTCTGCTGCGAAAATTTCGGTATTAACTTTTTACTAATTGACTTTTTAAATTTTGAATTTACAATATTCCAAAACTATAATAATATATAAATGCGCTCAAATGAATTGAACAATTGCAGATTATAAAGAAGCCTCAAATAGTTTAGGCCCAAAAAATTTATATGGATTACCAAACTTAGTTATTGAGCAACTTACGTCTAAAACTACAAAAACCTTGAATGAAAATACAAAAATAATTAGAATACCCAAAAATACCTAATAAATATCTAAATATACTAAAACTTTAATAAATTACGCTTAGATCTATCAAATGATATTCTCAAATGAACATATAAAAGATCATGGACGTACAAAAAAAGTTGGCCGTCTCGCTAACTGTGTCACTCATAATCGGCCAGCTCGGCTCGGCCGGTACGCACTCTTAAACACAT